GTACTAAGAAGTTTTAGCCGTTTCGCCGGGGCGAAAAAGTAGAAGCATGCTCTAACCGCTCCAAGTTTTACGAGCTCGGTTTCAATTGGTGTACCCAAAACATTACTTTTTGAAGACACAATTGCTCTTAGGGAAGACAAACGTACGGGTGCCTTCACATGCCGCGTTGGCTGGCAACAGCTAAAGCCCCTGCCTTAGGTGTTCCAGCTGCCTTTGAACGTTTCGGATAAATACTAAAGCAGCGTCCATGTAAACGGGAATCCAGCACTTCTTGACACGTTTGTTAAAATGTTGACTAACCTGTCGCTGCAGTTCCGTTGGGGCACTTAAAAGTCTAAATAGCATGCAGGCATAATGTCCGCGAGTGCGGGAGTGGGACGCATTTTGTGCTTTGTAGGAAGGCCTCTGTCAGATACACCGTTGTTTCGTTTAGCACGTTGAACAATCCGGCATAATTTCTGGTTCAGGTTAATCCTGTTTGAAACTGCAAGGTAACACGCATGCGCCACCTTCTATCCTTCTCAACTCAACATCAGGTATGCTCAACAGCGATGGTCGAAATCTACACCTTGCTGGCTCAACATTTCATAAGCCTGCCTTCCAATCTTCTCTTCGTGCGTTGGAGGTTTCTGAGATTGCTGGGCACAGCTTGGGGCTGATCCACGGATTAGATGCATACTCTGACGGCCAGCACGTAGCCAGCCTGCTGGCAGCTCGTCATTATTTGATCCATCCCCAAACTCGTCCTTTGCGATTGCCTATTGACGCGTTTCTTGACTCAAAATTCATTTATTACCTGATAAAGGACCCGCTTCAGCTCCAATTAGGCCGAACACATGTTGAAAACTATCCTTTCTTAGTGGTGTGCTTGGCACCCACTTTATTGGCCTCGCCAGAGATGAGCTGAATGCTGTTGAGCAGGTCAGGAAAAAGTTTTGCTTAGCGTTTTGTGGCCCCCTGACCATCACAGTACGCAGCTGTGGCCGCATGTACGCCATCCACTGCGTCACCTCTGGCACATCTGAGGTTTAGTCATGGTATAGTGGTTCAATATTAAGTCACGAATCATGCTCCTACGACCCAACTACGAGCTGAAGTGTCATACAGCCGCCGTGGCCTTGTTGATTCGTACATGGTGCTGCCTGCCAGCAGACTCGTGTCAAATGACTGCGCCAGCGAGTGAACCGACAGATTGCACTTCTGCGCCGTTTTCACGTTTGACTAATCCACAGCGAGTGTCAAGTGACATCATCAGTTCTAAACCCTGAATGCCAAGTTGTATTAGTGCACAATCCAAACGTGGTTGGGCAACTGTGGATCCATCCTCTGAAGCTACCTTCACGTTGTCGCACCCTGCGTGGGGAGCGTGCCGCTCTGGTGATGTATCGTCTTTGACTTACCAAGTAGCCTGCCCCTACCGTTGCTCAACTTCTTTGGCCTCCTGAGTGCACTTGCATGTTCCAATTGTGTGACCCAATTCCACGCAGCGAAGGCAGATGCAACCTGAATTTGCTGTCTGTAGCTGCCTTCGAGTGCGGATTCCCTATAAATTTCTTGTCTCATCCACCCTAGACTGTAGGCCGTGGCTGGCTTACTCAGCCCTGGAGTCCATAGGTTATGAATCTCGACTTGACCCTCTGCCTCTCAGCTAAACACAACAGAGATGCAGTTATTTGCTCCTGATACGTCAAGCTGCTTTCTATGTTTACAGATCCTATTGGTTGGCTGTTCAATCACAGAGTTGCTGCTCAGCCTGTGACTACCAGACGAAACCCTTCGGGTTGACCCGAGATCAACAATTGATGAAGTAGCTGTTCGTCCACAGTGCAATTGTTGCAAATTTAAGCTTCATAATTTTCGGCATACAAATGTGTGCGCTTCAGTGTAATCAGTTCTCGCAAAACTTGTTGTTTAGCTCACCTTGGCATAAAACAATACGTCACGGCCTTTAAAGATTTGACCTGTAGCAAGCCCCGCAGGCAGGCCTGGTTACTGTACGTAAATTAAAAAATACGTGAAGTATTTAGTGTCTTTGTAAGCATGCCGCAAGGAGCACTTGTTTAATGTGGCGTGGAGTCTGCGAGCAACCTATCCTACTGGCTACTGAAATCTTCGAGTTTTTGCCCATACTTAGGCCGCCACGCTTTTCTGGCTAGCAAACTCTTATCAAAGCATTCAAGTTGATTTTACTAACAAAATTGTACATTTCTACCAGCTGTGTAGCTACTATGTTCACGTAAGCTCGCAGGCCTGCCTCTGCGGTCCGAAGGGGCGTTGTGCCACAGTCAACTTCGGATTCCAAAGGGTTTTCTTCACCGTTTTGTTGCCAAACAAAAACGGATTACTAAATTGCCGAAGAATCTGAATCAAACTGGACAGATGTGATCAAAGTGGGCAGCTACTGTACGGGAGCCGGAGATCCGTTTGCATTCACAGCCAGTGGATGGCGAGGAAGAATTGCATCGAACCATGTGTGGCGCCACAACCAGAAAAGCTGCTTGTTAGGTTTGTTCAGGGATACAGTCGACTCGAGGCTTGTAACAAGCGTAACAGAGTGCAAGTGAGTGTTTTCGGAATACGGGCTGCCCCTTTCCCGTGCCCGCTGCCCTCGGAGTTCCCGATATGAACGGAGGAAAACGGAGAGGCAAGCTGCGTTTCGCAGCACCCTCTAAGAACTCCGAGCCCTGTCAGTTAGTTGTACATAACATCTATTGCCACATACACAACACGATGTCGCGTGGTATCGAGCTACCACTACTCTGCTGTAAAAAGCTACATGAACAGACAAAGCAATTAGTCAACTCGTTAGCAAGTCTCAAGTAGCTAACACTAGTATTGTCTAAAATGCCAAAGTCTAGTTTAGCCCGCATTACCAGCTGTGGGCGCATACAGGAATAGCTCATGGGACGCAGAGGCACTACTGCGCTGGTGTACACTATAAATTCATTCATCCGTCTTACTTATTTGACGTTGCTTCATAGTAGGAGGCTCACAAATCTCAGCCCTCAGACGACAGCGATAGCGCACCACCGCAGTCGTCTCGTCCACCCTTCATATGCGAGGGTCTGGCTCTTTCCTTCTGTTTGTCCCGCGTTAATGGCCAACTGACTTTATGCACTTCGTGTTCACATTGCTTCTGAACGCCTGGAATGTTGCAATGCAGCAAGAACAGTTCCTCTGCCCAGTGCGTAGCTGGTTCCTACAGCCACGTTTGCAGCAGGTGGGTGTGTGCTGTGTGGAGTGGTTGAAAGATGAGAGGATAGATGCGGAGGCGTAAGCTGCGAATGTTGTGCCACCTATTCTCCTTTACTCGGTAGGTTTACGAGCCTTAGAGGCGATAAAACACCCTATGGGCTTCAGCTATGGACTCATTAAGCGCCGCAGCTCTGGTCAGGCAACTACTGTAATATCGTCGTGCCTCTGTCCATACATCGAGGCCTCTAACGACTACCTGTTTAAGCGGTGCCAACTGTCAAGCTTCAGTGCTAAACAGAGCCTCCTTAGCATGGTGGGATAACAAGGGTCTCCAATGCAGGCTATGCGAGAGGGTGTGGAATACCCCAACCCGACGAATACACTACCCAAACTTTTCAAAACTCTTGCGAACCCTATCTCATGAGGGGATCTATCGGCTTGTTTTTTGGTTTTGCGGAAACTGAAAGGACACGCTCTACGAATACCCCTTCGTGATTGATCTGAACTTGTGTGCTGCAAGGCTCACTGGACCGGCTGTTGCATACCTGAGAGTTCACGACACCAGCAGCACTCACAAGAGTCTTTGCTACTAGATACGAATCAGTGCTGTCAAATACTGTCCTTCCAACGAAGCTGGTCCGTGCGTGCACTGTTGCCAGCAATGCAATATTAGGCTCAGGGATTAAAGCCTACCCATTTGCATAGTTGGCGTCAATGCCGCTTCCGCGGCAAGCAGCCAAATGATACCACACTTTCTTATCTGCTCGATGTTTAACATTACTATTCGGGAGCGCATTTATTTGCACTTAAACCGTATTAAGGGCAAGAGACCCTGATGGAGTCTGAGAGTGCAGGGTTGTCAGTTAGTAAGCCGTTGGTGCGTGAAGCTATACATAACACGCGACGAAAGTAGCTGAAGGCGCAACTATTTTCTTAATTTAGTCAATATATTTTATTTGAGCACTTTCTATTGCACAAGCTGTATATCTGAAATATAATTGGTGATCAGCCTATTATGTATGAGATGTCAGCCTGTTGTATGTACTGTGTGAAGTATTCAACTAAACGTGAAGGTATGGAGTGGCAAGCGGGTGCCAAAGCGCACATTCTGCGTTTTATCTACCCTCATGCCGGAGCTCTTTAGTGAAAGGGAAGGTTGCAAGGGGAGTTTCTTGGGAAGAACACTCAAGCCCGATATAGTAAGCTTTGCATCTGCTTTAAGGCCAAGCACCTGCCGAAGGTGGCCTCAGAGAGTTTTACCGAATCCTTGTAGAACGTCCACGAGGAGCGTTGCAACCTCTTGTGCCTGGAGCTATTTTGATTCCAAGGAAGCGTTCTTCTCGTTGAAACTGCGCGGACCTGTGGCTGTGACTGAGCGTAGCTGGAGGCAGCTAGACGCGTCGTGCAAGCAGCTTTTTAACTGGGCTGTGTAGACTTTCAGTAGCGGAAGCCTGCAGCCGGTTGTATCTGCAGCTATATATATGCATGCAACTGTGGTTATCCGTGGGAATCTATGAGCAACTGTAAGCAGCTCGAGGGTCGTGCATTTAGGGCGACTGCACATGAGGACAGGGCAGAGAGTTCTTGCTCCCACTGAGGGCTTTTTCTCTTCAGCGTTCACGAATAAACACGGCAACCAACGGCTGCAAAAAGTGAGACAGGCAAAAACTGCAGCAAAGTGACAGCAAGCAGAGAAGCAAACGAAAGGCAAAGGTTCGAAGTCGCCGAAAGCCTCAAAGACTCAGGTGCTCCCTTCCAGTGGCGATCCTACGTCTCCCTGCCCTGCCGCGGCACCTGGGGTGTCTTCAGCCTCGCGTGTGGTGAAACCAGTCGTGAGGGATTCTCGAGAGTAGGAAGCAGATATCTTCAGCAACTTTGTTCGTGTGTTTCTGCCCGTCCATGTGCCCGTAGTGACCAGATCCGCTGACGAGACACCGCAAATGCACGTCTGCTGCGCCTGCGGGCTGCTGCCCTCGAGCCTGTGGCGTTTGTTGCTGGAGGCGATTGAGGTGAGCTGCGAGTTTAGCGGCGTGCCAAGGAGGCGTTCGCGAATCTGTGAGGGATGTTGTCAGCAGCACCGACGGGAAGGGAGATGGTAGCGCCGCTGTTTCGCCGACTTGCGGGTGCAGTTTCTGCAAAGTTTCATAGCAACAATAGGCGGCAATGCTGCAGCGCGCGTCAGCAGCTTCTTCCTTCGCCACAGCTGACCATACACGCCAAGGGTCTGTAGCTTCGCTGCAAGTGTCATGCTCTTCTTCCCACGTGATGCTTCTCGTCGTCGTTTTTCCTACGCCTCCCGCCGTTGCGGCATCTCTCCATGCTGCTGCAGAGGTGCTGCTGCTCTGATTCTCGAGGGTGCCCCACTCCTCAGCCTCGAGTTGCGTGAGAGGCAGCAGAGGATCTTCCATCGCTGACAACACGTCGATGAATCCGTTTTCTAGGAGCAGGCAACGCACCATAGCTTCTCTTTCCATCCACGGCCGGTGCTTCTGCTGGGTAGAAAGCTGCTGTGAGGAAGACAGTGCCGCGCATCTTCTACCCGCGAGGAGCAGCGCAGCAGCGGCAACAGCCCCTGCCGATGTAGCCTTTACGGCTGTCGCCTTAGGATGACTCACACCTGAACCTTGCAAAAAGGAGAGGATGTCTACAAGATCCTGAGCTGCCTGCCTTCTCCTGTGCCCCCTCCCCTCGGCTTCGCCTTCGAGCGGTGTTTCCCCCCCGCCTCTGACGTGTGCAAATGCCAGAATCCAGCCGTTTTGCAGCAACAGGGCAGCACCAGCATCAAAGGAAGCAGCCAGCGGCTCCTTGTAAGCTCCATACACTTGAAGCAAAAGGGGTCGAGCAGCGGAACCTGCAGGCAAAGGTCGATGCAGTAGGGAAGGCGTAAAAGGAAGCGCGAGAAGGCCGTCGCATTCGTTGCTTGCGAGGCTGCTTCCCGTGGCAGTACTGGCGTTGCCGGCGAGACGTAACGACAACGGGGGTGCCCTCCGCTGCTGAAAGCATGCAACAGTCTCTCTACGAGCAACAAGTGTCAGGGGGATGTGAAGCAGTCCGTCCCGAGACGGCGTATACAGCACTTCAACGGCGAACCGCGAAGCAAACGCATGCACGGCCCACAGCCGTGCCTTCTGGCGATGTCGCCACGCGTTGCACGATTCCTTCAACCACCCCGACATCCCTTCAACATGCCATTTGTGCCTGCGGACGGCAGTGCATGCGCTTTGCGAAGAAGAGTCTTCTGGGCGTGCTGCAGCTGCAAGCTTGGCGCACGCTTCGCGAATGCGCTGCAGGCGTTCCTGTCCAAGCAACACAACGTGTTGCTGCTGGTGCACAGACAAGCGGCAGGAGGGGACATCCAGGTGTACAGACAACGCGGGATGCAGCGGCGTCTGCAGTAGCATCCGCACAGAGTCCGCATGCGCGTCCGCATTCGCTGCAGCAGTCAGCAAACCCGTCCCTCCAAGAGGCAGTGGCGCGTCGATGACAGCAGCAGCTGCTGCTGCTGCATCTTCGATTGCTGCAATGCCTGCAGCATCGGCAGCCTCAATTGCAGCATTGGAGAGCAGCGGCTCCTCCAAGAGCCGCGACAGATACCCCTGCTGCTGCTTGTGCTGCTGCTGCTTGTGCTGCTGCTGCTTGTGCTGCTGAAGGCATGCCACGTCTGCCCGAGCCGTTGCAACGTCTACCGCGTCTGCAGTGGGAGTTTTTATGACAAGGAGAACACTGCGGGCAGCCGATCGCTGCCCATAGACAACGATGCACTGATGCATTACATCGGCATCGCGCACTCTCATGTCCTCCTCCGAATGCAACAGCAACAGCGGCAGCCGCAGGGGTGTCAGATTCTGCGACTGTGGCGAGCGGAGACACACGTGAGGCTCCTGCAGCCGAATTGTAGAGATCCCAACAGCAGTTGCGGCACTGGCCACACGAGCATCCTTACTCGCAGCAGCCGCTTCTGCTGGTGCTAATGCATCGAGGATCGCGTCAAGCACCCGATGCAGCAGCGCGTAGCAGCGAAAACGACCCTCCGGTCCACACAAGAAGAAATACACGAGCTTGCACCTGCAGGGAAACGTTCCAGACAGCCACGATGCAAGGAAGCGCTTCCTCAGCCTCTTCTAAGGCCGTGTGAAAGCAAGCGCTCCTGCCTCTACAGCCTGAGTGCGACGTGAGGCGGTGCAGATGCTGAGCAGTTCTTACCCAGACTCAAAGAAGTGCGGATTTCCACCAAACAGCAGCCGTGGCTTCCCGCGAGTGTCTCCTGCCCTGCAGCAGCAGCAGCAAGAGCATCAACAACAGCAAGAGCTTCAACAAAAGCAAGAGCATCACCAAAAGCAAGAGCAGCAGCAAGAGCATCACCAAAAGCAAGAGCTTCAACAAAAGCAAGAGCTTCAACAAAAGCAAGAGCATCAATAAGAGCATCAATAAAAGCAAGAGCATCAATAAAAGCAAGAGCATCAATAAAAGCAAGAGCAGCAGCAAGAGCATCACCAAAAGCAAGAGCATCAACAAAAGCATCACCAAAAGCAAGAGCATCAACAAAACCAAGAGCTTCAACAAAACCAAGAGCATCAACAAAAGCATCAATAAAAGCAAGAGCATCAATAAAAGCAAGAGCATCAATAAAAGCAAGAGCATCAATAAAAGCAAGGGCATCAATAAAAGCAAGAGCAGCAGCAAGAGCTTCAACAAAAGCAAGAGCATCAACAAAAGCATCAATAAAAGCAAGAGCATCAATAAAAGCAAGAGCAGCAGCAAGAGCATCACCAAAAGCAAGAGCTTCAACAAAAGCAAGAGCATCAACAAAAGCAAGAGCTTCAACAAAACCACGAGCATCAATAAAAGCATCAGTAAAAGCAAGAGCATCAATAAAAGCAAGAGCAGCAGCAAGAGCATCAACAAAAGCGAGAGCATCAACAAAAGCAAGAGCATCAACAAGAGCAAGAGCATTAACAAAAGCATCACCAAAAGCAAGAGCATCAACAAGAGCAAGAGCATCAACAAAAGCATCACCAAAAGCAGCAGCGGCCACCCATAGAAGAAGACTGGGGAGGCACCAAGCGTCAAAGACATGCAGGGCAGCACATGCAAGCGCGGTGACTGCAAAGCAGCTTTGCCTTTCGCTGCGTCTATACAGCACCACAGGCTCTTAGGCCGCCATACACAAACACATCCACACATACACTGTACACACAAAGTAACAACATAAGATTCTGCGTCTCTTACCGCTGCACCCAAGTGTAGGTACAACTCCGGTTGGTTGCGGTGAAGAAGAGGTAACGTCGATCCTTGCCAAGCCGCACGTCGTAGTGCAACTTGCGGCCTCCCTCAGCAGCTTGCTGCGAATGAAGCAACAGCAGCAGCAGTGCCTCCATTGAAGCCCCCCCTTATCCACGCACTTGCGCTTACAGCAACAAACATGCACAAGCAGACAGCAGAGACACACTAACACCAGAGGAAGGGGGCACATCGAAGTCACCGAAACGCTTGCGCAGGCAGGAGTCGCAGAAACAAAAACACGAACGCAACGAACGCAGCGCAGAGGGAGCAGTACCAAGCAGCCCAAACCAGCCCTAACCAACACAAGAAAGCAGAAAAATGCAGTAGACAGCAGCATGTCACCAAGACCTTAAAAGCAGCCCTCGTTCAAAGACGCAGACACCAGGTGCTATAACGCGAAGCAGCAGAAGCAGCAGAAGCAGCAGAAGCAGCAGAAGCAGCAGCGACAGCAGCTCAAGGGGCAAAGCAGCCCTTCCTCACGGAGTGAAGCAACAGCTCTCTCTTCGCCAGCACAAAGGGGTAGACTCTGCGGATTAGCGCGGCTGTCTCCCCTGTGGATGTAAGCACACCCATCACCAGGGTCGGCGAGGAAGCTCCTTGTGGCTCTCCTGGAATCGCTGTAGCTGTTCGTGTCTCGCATGCCGGCGCAGTCTCGAGAGACGGCTCGAAAACAAAGCGCAACACTTTGTCTGCAGCAAGGGTCTGTGCATCCACCCCCGCCGCATACAGCAGGAACGGCTGCAGAGCCGCAGTCGAATGCCAAGTAGAAGCAGTCGAGGAAATAAGCTCTGCTGCTGAAGCTGACGTGTCGAGTCGTTCGGATGCGATCTCTGCTCCCGTTGGCTCTCCATGTGCTGCTGCTCTTGATACTCGTGTTGCTGCTCCTGTTGCTGCTCCTGTTGATACTCCTGTTGATACTCCTGTTGCTGTTGATAATCCTGCTGTTGCTCCTGCTGTTGCTCCTGCTGTTGCTCCTGTTGCTGTTGATAAGCTTGTTGCTGCTCCTCTTGATACTCCTGTTGCTGCTCCTCTTGATACTCCTGCTCCATCGCAGACTCCTGCCGGTGCTTCTACGTCGAATTCGAATGCAGCGATATCTAAAAGAGGAGGCGCAGCGGGGAACCATTCCCAAGGAGAAAGCAGCAGCGGCGTATCTGCCGCATCGGAAGCGCTATAGATGGAGCTTTTATGAGGAAATTCACCTCTCAAGGAGCTTTCTGAGCCACAAGATTTGCTGCTAGTTCGCAGAAGGAGAATCGGACGATCGGTTCCCTTCGGATCGATAGAAACGCCAACCAAGCCCTCTGCATGCCCCCAAACTCTGATGCTGCGGAGCACTGGCAGTGTCGCGTCTTGTTGCTGCCGGTGATCATTTCGATGGCGATCGCTTTGATGGTGCTTCCTCTGATTGAGCATCCATACCCCCAAGTCAAGAATCTGCTCCTCTCCCTCCAGCAGCAGCGCAACCGCTTCTTCTTGGCATTCTAGCGGCAGCTGCAAGACCTCTGCTTGCTGCTGCAGCAGATCTCTCAGCGACTCAAAGTGCTCTTTTTCCTCCTCTTGCTGCTGCAGTTGCTGCTGCTGCTGTGATAACGCTTGTTTTTGCGGCTGTTGCTGCTGTTGCTGCTGTGATAACGGTTGTTTTTGCTGCTGCTGTGATAGCGGTTGTTTTTGCTGCTGTTGTAATGACGGCACAGGTCGGCGGCAGAGAATGACAGCCTCTTGAACAAAAAGTGACGGACGGCAGTAATACGCGAAGCCTCCAAGAGTATCTACTGGAATGTGCGCCGCGGCATTTGCTGCTACGGCTGCTGCAGTCAGGGCAGCTGCAGTCAAGTCGGGGTGAAGATGAAGATCGGGGAACTGCTGCTGCTTCTGCAAGGCGACCAAGGCATGCCTCTCGTGCTGTAGGCTCCTGCCTTGCTGCTGCTTTTCCCTGCATGCCCCCTCCGCTTGCTGTTGCCGTTGCTGCTGAGCACCCCTCGGAGTCACCTCGAGGATTTGGTGCAAGGCAGCCTCCGTAGCTTCAATTGCAGGAGCAGCAGCAGCAGCAAATGCCGCAAACCGACCAACAGAATATCCAGCTGCCGCTGCAAGAGCCTTCTCTTCCCGGGCTGTAACGACACTTGCAGCAGCAGCAGCAGCTGTTGTTTCTGCAGCTGCGCTAAGTTCTTCTGCAGCATCCGGTTTAAGTGGTGCTGCCGCTGCTGCTGCGAGAGGGAGCAGCCGCTCGAGAAGCCCCTCTCTTTGAAAGAAACTTGCGCAGTCGCTTCGAGGAGCTAAGAACGGATGCCATCGTGCTGATCCTGCACTTTTGTCGGGGTTGTTGTTGTTGCTGTTGCTGCTGATGGTGTTGCTGCTGCAGCTGCCCTCATGGGAGGTGTTGGTGGTATTTTGAGGTTCTCGGTAGCTGCTGCTCGAGAGGCGCTCTCGGCTAGTGTCGTTTTTCCCCAAGCGGACTGCAGCAGACGCAGAAGGTGAACGATGCAAATGTGCAAAACTGCTGTAGGTACCCCTCCATCTGGATGCGGCTCCTGCTGCTGCTTGGAAACTGTCTCCAACACAGCGAACCGATACACTCCGAAGAATCGGCGGTTCCAAACACGCCATCTATCCTGCCTCGCGTAAAGCATCAAAAGCACCAGCAATAGCGGCAAATGCTGCTGTTGCTCGTGCTTTCGGTACGACTACTGCTACTGCTGCTGCTGCTGTTGACGGTGGGGGGAGGGGGGAAAGGCCGCCTTCGCCACGGCTTCGCATTTCATAGGAACAGATCTTCGCGTGCCTGCCGCTCACTCCGGATAATGCAGAAGCCGCATATTACACAATACACAAGCCGGCAAGCATAGCGCCTTGCCCGTTATGCTCACGGGCTAGCTGTATAGCGTCTTTCTGTCCTGCGGCAGCATCTGCTCAACACAGTCTCGATACCTCTGTCTGAGCTCCCTGCTGCTAGTGCTGCTGCTGGCTTACTTCGCATAGCCGCCGAACCCAAGCGCTGCACACACAGGGGGGAGGGGGAGAGGGTGCTGTTAAAGACGTTCCATATACACCAAAAATTCTAAATTGCATCTAAATTGCCCCTGAAAACGCGAGCAGCGCCACTTGGTACCCCAGTCCAACAGAATCGATACGGGGGGCCCCCCTCCCCAGTCCCCGCGTGTATACACCCGGGTACGCCGGGTGTATGTACGGAGGAGGGGGCCCCCCCCGTATCGATTCTGTACGAAAACGAACCCCGTCATGAAGGAACCTCCCGTCGCGCACACTTATGCCGTTATTCGGCATCAAGAAACATTTTAATTCGCCACAAACTTCAAGGAATCTTCAGGGGGACTGCCTGCTGCAGACGCTCGACAGCGGGGAAATTCAAGATTGCCGCCTTTTCGCCATAGTCTGCAGACGACCCTAGAGCCCCCTGCTTGCGTTTCCTGCTGCGGTTGCAATGACAGCAGCAGCAGCAACAACATTTGCTTAACTTTGCCTTCTCTTCGTGCCTGCTAGAGGGTCTCCTCTCTCTCCTGTGCTGGCTGCTTCGGCGGCTTTTCTGCAGCACCTTCTAACTCCCGTGGAGTTCCTCAGTACGAGCGTTCACTTACCCCCCTCTTCCCCCCTCGCCGCTCCAGCGTCAGCCAGCAGCCTACCCCCAGCAGCCACCCCTTTGTTGCTGCTGCGGCAGCAGCAGCAGCAGCAGCAGCGCGCCTCTGTCTCGAAAATTCCTCTCATCCAACAAGAACAACAGCGCCAACAACAACACCAACGGCAACAGCAGTCCGTGAAGGGGCCGCTGCGTCTGCCAAGGCTGCAGCCCGCAAGGTGACACCCCACGTCGCTGCAAACTTTTTCTCCTCTCCGCGAAAACAGCACTAAATACCCCACAGAGTGTCGGGAGCAGCGAAATCAGCATCTGCGCAGCCATAGCCATGGCGTTGTCGGCAGCTGCATCCCGTCCTTACTTCCCCTGCCCAGTTTGCAGCAGCACCTCGGGGAAGCGCTGCTGCGCATGCTGCAACGTGGCAAGAGGAGGATCTCTAGAGAGCAGCGACGTCCTCCTTTCAGCTGCTGCAGCGGAAACAACTGCGCTGCTCCTGCAGCAGCAACCCCACTGGCGCCGAGCTGCGCTCCTGCTGCCGCAAGACCGCCTCGTTGAGGCTCCATCCTTTCTTGAGGCTTTTCGAGCCAAGTGGAGGCAGCAGCGTTTTCCAGTGGCGGAGGGGCGAGCAGGCACGGCTTTGCCTCCCGAACCAGCTTCCTCCGCCTCAGCAGATTCTGCTGCACCTGAGCGACGCCTCGATGAGCAGGAAGGCTCCCTGAACGGTCTGCCGCAGAAGGAGGAGCAGCAGCAGAACCTTCAGGAAGCATCCAAGCAGCAGACGCGCACCCTCGACCCTCCCTTTCTCTACGTTGTCGCCGATCGCCCGCCTGGCTTCTGCTGCAGCGAGTTGAGCAGCGCTGCTGCCCTTTCTCCTGACGTGCTGCTGTCTGCTGCCGCTTCCTCTGCCTGCTGCAGCCCACCTGCAACTGCGGTGTGCCGCCCAACAGTCTTCATCTACCCAAAGGCGCCTCTAAATACTCCACTCTGCGCTGCAGCGATTGCCGCACGCTTGTGCGGGCGTGTAGAGCTGCCACCTCCACAGCTGCCTCGAGGCAGTCCACCCACGACAGCAGCCTCGCTGATTTTGCTGCTGCTCGACGCTCCCGTGCAGCATGGCTTGGGATGTTTGCTGCGACACCTCCTAGAGCTTCTGCCCGCAGCTCCGGAGCAGCTCTCGCCTCTGGAAAGCGGAGGAAGCAGCTCACCAACCCCCCGCTCCTCCTCCTCGATCAACTCCCTCAGCGGCACTTGCCCTGGAACGCCTGTCGCGGCTGCTTCTCATGCTGCTGCTGCTTCCGCGCGGTGTACATGCACCTGGGGAGACACCGCGCTCTTCGTCGCCCTCTCCCCCCTCCTGCTGCTCCCTGCCAACCTGCGAGAAGCGGCGCAAGACGCCGCGAAAGAGCTCGGAAAGGCCGCTGCCGTTGCTCCTGCCAAAAGCTGCTCTGGCTTCCGCCAATGCGGCGGCACATTCTGCGCCGAACAAATAACCTCCTGCTTGCTGTTTGAGCAGCAGCAGCAGCAGCAGCTCCCCTGTGATCAGAAGGAGGCGTTTTCCAAGCTGGCTGCGCAGCGGTACGCTGAGCTCTATCAGCTGCCGCACATGCGCTTCGCTCAGCTCTGCTTCCTCCCGCCGTGGGTGCCAAGAGCTGCGGATCCGCCTTTCGAGAAGGCGTCTTTTCCCCCGCCGAAATGGCAAATCGAAGAGTGTTTCCAGCTCGTCAGCACGGCATCGAGCTACCTACGCGTTGGAGGTCGTGTGCTCTTCAAAGTCTACAGACGAGCTGAGGGTGGCACTATTGGCTTGTCACCTGTCGCTTTGCAGCCGCAATTCCTGCCGCAAAAGTCAAAGACTGCCAGAAAATCTCAGACAGTGAAGCTGTCAGATCCACCGACGCTCCCAGATCTCCTCGGCAGCACCGCTGTTACCCTCGTCTACGTCGGAACCACGGGAGCCGTTCTAGAAAAGCAACAGGAAAGACAGCAGCAACAACAGCAGCAACAACAGGAAGCGCAGCAACAACAACAGGAAGCGCAGCAACAACAACAGGAAGCGCAGCAACAACAGGAAGCGCAGCAGCAACAACAGCAGCAACAACAGGAAGCGCAGCAGCAACAACAGCAGCAACAACAGGAAGCGCAGCAGCAACAACAGCAGCAACAACAGGAAGCGCAGCAGCAACAACAGCAGCAACAACAGGAAGCGCAGCAGGAGCAACAGCAGCGGAGGGAAGGAGGCGGTACAGCTGCTGAGTGTAAGTGCATCCAATTGACGCACCGACTGAAGCTGCACTCTGCGAATATTGCAGAGACTCCCCCGTCTTTGATGCTTCTGCGGCTTTTGTTGCGTCACGGGAGCAGCTGCAGCGTCTTTTCAGTTGATCCTCAATGGATCCCCCATCCTCAGCAGCACACTCCGAAGCAGGCACGCGCCAGTTGTGCTTCTTCGTCTGATAGCAACGCCGCTGTACGGCCAAGCTCAGTGTGTGGCTGCATGTGCCGCCGCTGTATCGACAGCTGCTGCCCATGCTTCGAGCACCTGCTTGTGGACGAAGGTCCTCGTGTGTCTGCGCAGCTTGGTAGGCAGTTTGTCGCTGCGCAGAAACTCCAAGCACTGGCACGAGCAGCGGTGGTGGCAGAGGGCACTGCAGCAGGATCGCAGCTATCTCTGCTGTTGGTGGGGCAGCAGACTTGCTCCTCGCTGCGGCTGCACGAACAGCTGGTGCGGCTTATTACCGAACAACTTGCAGACGCAGCAGCTCGTGAGCAGCTCAGGGAAGAGCAGGACGCTAGCAGCAGTAGTAGCAGTAGCAGGAGGGGTAGCAGTAGCAGGAGGGGTAGTGAGGCAAGCGAAGAGGAGGAATCTGATGAGGAGGAGGAGGAGGCGCAGCGACGCCAGCGTTTGCGGCAGCTGCAGCAGTGCTTTGTTTCTGTTGCAATGGGGGAGGTCACAGCAACCAAGCTTTTGAACTACAGCGACGTGGAAGGCTTCGGCTTGGTGGGTTGCACAGGCAGCTGCCTGTTAGTTCAGCAGCAGCAGAAGGAAATGGGGTACGGGGGGGCGTTGCTGCTTCCCATCGATATCCTCATTGCCTTGGAGATCGCGGAGTTTTCGCCTCACAGACTTGTCGAGAGTGACGAGCTGCTGCTGCTGCTGCGGCTGCGGCAGCAGCAGCTCGAGAGCGAGCAAAGGCAGCAAAAAAGCCGCGACGCTCAAAGTGGCAGTAGCTCGGATAAGACCACTGCACTGGCGGTAAACAGCAGTGACAAGGCTCTAGTCTCGGCCGTCTCGATGCAGGCTTTGCGGCAACAGAGTCAGAGAAGCTTCCGAGGTGTCTCGTACAGGAGGGAAGATGAGGCTGGTCAGCAACAGCAGCCCCCCCAAATCCTCCAGGGGAGATCTGGCGTGGCAAGTGGATACGCCGATGAGCCTGAGCAGGTGCTAAACGAGTAGCGGCACTTGTCACCAAGCAAATTTTAGTGGAACGACATCCCTCATATCTACGCAGGGGGGAGGGTCTCTTCTGTGCAGGCTGAGCTGGTTCTCCATGCTTATTCAGAGTCTCATTTTCTGGAGCCTTTCATGCAGCTATTTAGGGAAGATCGTTCCCAGGCAGGACCGCTGCAGCACTCGCAGCTGCGCCTGCCGCGTGGTGGTGTGTCTCTTCTTAGCGTATTACGGCACTTCGAATGGCAGTTCGCATATTTCAGGCAAAGGCAATAAGGGGCAGGAGGCAAAAGAGAGGCGAGGAGGCACATGTATAAGTACTGCATCGGTGTACCACGCACTTGCGTGGGAAAAAGTCAACCTTCTACGCCGATAATGCTCCCAGCTCATCAACACAGGTGACAGTGTCGACCGTAGAGCCTTGTGTACAAGAAGCTCTGTGCGCAATTTGAAACGGTTGTGCTCCTGCGCAGAGAGGCTACAGACGAGACCCCCCGCAGCTTGCCAGTGCTTGCGGGAATGACACAACACAGGAGATGCTGTGTAGAGAAGGGTCTGAGCTAGTTGCCGATTTACCGGTCGTGTCATGCCCTATAGCAGCAGCAGGAGAGACTGCAAACGTCCCCCCCTTCCCCGCAAATGTGTCCGTGCTACATTTTTCTGTTTTCTCTTGGTGTTGCGGAGGGTGAAGCAGGTAGATCTGCGTAGGGCAATGGCTTCAGATTGAATACTCAGGGGGAAGAGAGAGATCGCATAGTTGAGCGTGGCTTGCTGGTAGCGTCCGTGCCTTTGGTCTCCTCTTAGCCACGAAGTCACCCCAACGGAGATAAATCAGAGATAAATCACAGCTGCATTCGGGTAGTGCTCCTCTCAAGGTCTCCCGAAGAGGAGCTTTTCATTTAAACTCGCTATCAAGTCTCATTTGAAGCACCTAATTGTGGCTTCTAGTTACCTGCTCCCCCTATCCTGTAGCTGTCACCTCGAAAGGTTCCGGCATAAGGAGAGGAAGTTCAGACGGGCTGCTGACAGCTGCACTGCTTAAAGCATTTTTCGCATACACCGACAGTTGCGCCACATAGCAGCTTGGCACTCTTGCAACGCTCCCTCTGACGATTCTGTAGGCAGCCACTTAACTCCAAGGTCAAAACTAATTGAATTAAAGGCTATTGGGGTTTTTTTCAAGGAGCGCCGTCCTGCCCCTTACCGGCCCCTCAGCATTCCCAACAGAGGGAAGAGAAACGCAGAGTTTGGCTGCGGGTATGCGCACCGTCCACGCACTCAGGGCATTTGCAGCTAGCTGTACACAGCACCTAGGGCATACGCAGACACCACTACGTCGGGCTGGAACGCGCTAGCGCTACTCTGCGAGAATTAAGGCACACGAGCAACCAGACCAATTGTTCGATTCTTCGCCCACTTTCAGGCAAATACAACTCGTGCAGTAGGGAGTGTTGCAGTTATTCGTGCATTGTCTGCGGCCAAACCCCCTCGATCAGTTGCTGTGACGGGAGGTGCACCCCCTCAGATTACCAAAGTGGTGCCTGTATTATATGCGCGAGGGGCGCAACTGTTTCCCGGATTCTCAATTGACTGCAAATAAGGCTTAGCTCTGCGCTAGCAGAGCGAGTGCTACTTGCCTGCGCCATACAGCGGGCACAGCTACACTTAGGCCAGAAAAGAGCTGCCGGTGCCTCACCCCTGGCTGAAGCAAGCGTTGAAAGCCAAGGAGCCGCCTGCCTGACACACTGCATCTTTCGTGAAGGGCAGTGAGCCAGCTCAAACGCCAGCTGATGCCAATAGGCACTCCCCACCTTGACTCGGGAAGCAAGGACGAACTCGGGGAGGGGGGCGAGTGGTGTCGCTTTGCGGGGGCGGCCCTCACAGACTCATAGTTAGTTTGCTCTCCCTACGCATCCTTTTTGATTAAGTTGCCTTATTAGAGTGAGGAAGCCTATACATAAATGTGGCGCAGACACACACCAAGAAGGGGATTTCCGTACATAGGTGAGGGGGGCGAGTGGTGTCGCTTTGCGGGGGCGGCCCTCACAGACTCATAGTTAGTTTGCTCTCCCTACGCATCCTTTTTGATTAAGTTGCCTTATTAGAGTGAGGAAGCCTGTACATAAATGTGGCGCAGACACACACCAAGAAGGGGATTTCCGTACATAGGGCTGGTGGGAACACAGTGTTTCTTGTACCACCCCAGACTTCTCCGGGCACTATGTGCAGTGAAGCAGGAGGCCCTCTGCCAGCCAAGCCACCCGTTGCTCTTCCACTTTGTTGGCGTTTCATTTTGACTTTTTAAATTTTATTTTTAATAAAGCTCTCCAATTTTGGCTCCTCCGCTCCGACCCCCGCTTGCCGCCACTCGGCTGCGCTCGATAACAAACGCGCTAGTTCCCCCCCGCCCCCTCCCCCCCCCTCTTCCCCCATCCTACCAGCTGCCTCGCCCACACACGCTCCCCTTTAGACCCCTCAGGTGCCTTCCCCTAGCCTGCGTTCAAGGGCAGAAAGATCCCCTGCAGGGAGCCTCAAAGGGCTGTAGAACTGGTCACTCCAAGCAAGCACTCCCCAATGAAGACGAAGACACAGACACCGTCAGCGACTCCGCTGGAAGGCGACTTGCTGCAAGCCTTGCGGCTGCCTGCGCCGTTTCGGGAGGCTTTGGCGGATTCGAGGCATCACGGACTACAGACAGAAGACGCACTCCAGCAGCGAAAGCAGCTAATAGAGGCTTGTGAGGCATGGGTGCAGCAATGCGTAGCCTTGACATGGCTGACATGCGCTTCGCGGCTTCGCGAGAAGCACGAGCAGCAGATCGTGCAGCTGCAGCAGCAGCAAGAGCAGCAGGAGCACCTGTTGCAGGACGAGCGGCACCAGCTGGAGCTGCAGCGGCAGCAGGTACAGCTGCTGGAGCAGCAGCTACACATCAGGAAGCAAATATGCGAGACGCAGATCCAAGAGCGAGACGCCCTCTGGCGAAGGCGGCTGAGGGATGCTCTCCAGCAAAAGGATGGCTCGAGATCCGCTGCCACGGGTGCCGCTGCCAGCGCAACTGGGGTTGAGCAGGAGCTTCCAGAAGGAGGCAGCAGCAGCAACAACGCAAGCGAGAGTGGTAGTAGAGGCTGCTCCAACAGCGTCGGCGCGAACAAGGGCACGGAGTCGTTGCGCACGCCGCTGCCCTCTCGACCAGTGGCGCATCCTAAGAGGCTGCAGCGGCACCGTCTGCAGCAGGCGAAGCCAGGAGTCGAGGCTCTGAGCAGCAGCGCTTGCGACAACAGCACCAACAAAGGCAGCCTGGAGAGGGCAAGAGCGCAAGCGGCCTCAGTGCTGGAAGGCATCTCGTATATCCGGCTGCGGAAGGCAGTGGCGAATCTTCGCCAGGAGCAGCAATCGCGCAATCAAGAGCAGCAGCAGCAGCCTGGTAGACGGCGTGCAGCTGGCAGTATAGGGGGTCCATCAACAAAGCAACAGCTCATTAAAGACATCCTGTACAAAATCCCCCCCGACGTGCTCTTTCTCCTCTCCCACGCCCATACTACGCCAGAAAGAGCCCTCCGGCTTCTTAGCGAACCTGCCGCTGCTGCTGCTGCTTCCGTCGAAAAATGATGCTGCAGACAATCCCCAGTAGTTAGTGGTGCTGCAGCAGGCCTGGCGACACCTGCATGTGGTAGTACTGGCGTGTGTCGTGCGAGAAGCACTCGCGTGCGTGTTGCTACGGAGGAGACCGTTTTTTAGAGAGAGAGAGAGAGCCGTGTTCGCGTGTGTGTGGCTGTAGCCGCCGCAGAGCAACACCTTGGTGACACACTATAGGACTGGCAGTAGTGAGTGCACTAGAGGCAGAAGTCTAAGGCAGAGATTAAAATAAAACTCTGCCAGCAAAGTTTACCCGTGTACTCCCCCTGTAGGCTCTCCCCTGCTTCCAGTTCGCCTTACGAGGCCATCTACGTGGCGCTACGTTAACGAACCACGGAGACGCATGTTTGCAGTGGAAGCCGCATGTCACGCCTGCCCCAGCCTTGTGCAAGATACATGTGTAGAAACGCGTTAGCTTCAGAGCAGCCCTACAGGGAGGGACAGATATATATGTGTACGTGAGGCGTGCTGCGCGCGGGGAGAGGGAGGAGGGAAGGGGAGGGGGCAAAGGGGTCAAAAGGTGCCTGCTGCACAAGACGAACGGCTTCGGCTTCAGCACGAGGCATGCAATGCACTGCCCAAAAAAAGGATTCTCTTCTCCCTCTGCACAGACAGACATTTCGTGTACAGCCCGGCGCACTGCCAGTGTCTCGAGAAGGATGCTTCCTGGGTGGCTCCTTATAAATAAGCTCCCCGACGAGCCACACGTACAAGCCACCGGATTTGTGCCTTTCTGAAAAACTCTGCGTCTCGGACCGTGGGTGTGTGTTGCTGCGGCTGCGCAGCTCCCGTGAGTAGCCCTCGCGCGCAATCGCAGCAAGCGGGGAGCCACCACGAAAGATTTCAGCGCACAGGCTGCACGGAGGGGGAGCCTATGGGCACCAGAGGCTGCAGGCAAGGGTTTGCGACGTAGTCTTGGGAAAAGAAAAATGGTAGCGCATGCGCGCGCAGGCGGAGGTGAGCGCTAGGGCACACTGATGTCGGGCTGGGGGAACGCAACCGCGAGGCAAGGAGGGAAGGCACATGCATGCATGCATGCATGTGCCTTCCCTCCTTGCCTCAGCGCGTTCAGCAGGGGCCTTGTATCGCGCCGGCAACCAATGTAACACGTGTGGATGGATGCGTAGCACAGCATACACGACAGAAGCTTCCTCTCTGTTTATGATTATACGAGAGCAGCACCCACGGTTCGTCATTTGTCGTGCATGCTGGTAGGAGTAAACTGGCTTTCCCACTTGACAGGCGAAGCGGCCCTCTCTCTTCCCTCGACTTGGTGTGTGGCAGGTAGATTAAGCCTCTTTGAATGACACTGCTAAAAAAAGACCCCTTTTCTCTCTTTCTCCCCAAATACCCAAGCTTCTCCAGTCCTCTCCTTGTACTCAAAAAGAGGCACACAGAGACAGGTGAGTCTCCTCTGCGTGGAGGGCACAGACACCACCTGCTGTTTGCAAACATGCGCCTTTTTCTAGCTACCTTCCCCCCCTTGAAAACGCATAGGCGGGCAGCTTCGCTTCCTCTCCTGCTGTTTGCTTGCCGCGCAGCAACACCCAACACACGGCGCCTTTGTGCCTCTCTCTCTCTCTCGCCTCTCTCTCTCTCTCGCCTCCCTCCCTCTCTCTCTCTCTCTCTCGCCTCTTTCCCTCTCTCTCTCTCGCCTCTTTCCCCCTCTCTCTCTCTCTGTCTCTCTTCTCTCCCTCTCTCTCTTTCCCTCTCTCTCTCTCTGTCTCTCTTCTCTCCCTCTCTCTCTCTCTCTCTCTTCTCTCCCTCTCTCTCTTTCCCTCTCTCTCTCTCCCTCTCCCCTTTGTGTCTTTATCGTTTTTGCGGCACGGGGGAGATGTCTGCGTGTTATTTTTGAGCGGCATTTTCTGCGAGCCTCGCAGCTCTCTAGGAGAGCAGCAGGCCTGCCTGCTTTCCGTCCGACTGGCTGCGACCATGAGATTCTTGAGAGCTCCCGCCTGCTCTTCTGCCGCGTGGTCTCCTCCGAGGAGGGAGACGACTTGAGGATCGTGCTGCCGTTCCAGCAGAGTTGCGAGGCGTTAAAGCACCGCTTCGAAGAGCAGCGGCTTCCCGGAGAGCTGCCGCCGAGGTGTCTAGGGCACCCCCTGGAGCAGACTCGTCGAGAGCAAGCGTCGAGTCTCTTTGCCGCGTCGCGCGGGAAGCAGCGGCTGCGTCTGCATTCCAGTGCTGCAGCTCCGCAATGATGGGGAGGGAGGCTTCGCTGTAAGACTCGCCTCCCTCGCTGGGGGGACCGTCGTCGTTGGAAGGGGCAGAGGGAACGGACAGCAACGAGCCTGCCCTTCGATCTCCAATTGCAGCGCAGTCGCTAATATCGCTCGGCGTAACTGCGGCACACAAATAAGGCGCTGGAGGCGGAGAGAGCTGCCCCTCGCTCTCGACATCCCCTGCCACTGCGGCGAACTCGTGGTCAGCGCTGCTGCAGCTCCCGCCACGCCGTTGTTGCTGAATGATGAGTTGCTGGCGTCTCTGCGCCTCCTGCTTTTGCTGCATGTAGGCGGGAGGGGGGACGGAAGAGGGCGTAAAAGCCCGCGCGGCTGAGGCTGTCTGCTCTTCCTGCTGGTGATGGTGGTGATGGTGGTTGCGGTGCTCCTGTTGGTGCTGCTCTTCTCGCTGAAACGCCTGGTCTGACAAGACACCCTCACCTCCCCCGCCGGCGAGTGGCAATGCTGCAGCACGGATGCAAGACGGCGGATACAACAGCGAGTGACGCATGCGCTGTCTGCTGCGTCCTCCCGCTGCCAGCAAGGCCTGCCTCAAAGACCGCTGCTGCTGCTGCTGCTGCTGCTGCTGCTGCTGCTGCTGCTGCTGCTGCTGCTGCTGCTGCTGCTGCTCTTGCTGCTGCTCTTGCTGCATGCCCTCTGATGGCATCGCCTGCTCCGAGCGATTCTGCGGCGACGCCAGCACTTCCGTTCGCTCTTGGCAACCTACGACTTGCCGCTGCTGAAGGTCTAGGAAGAAGTGGAGGGCGGCTGCTTCGCGACTTTTCGCTGCGACAACGCCGGCTTCTAGAGGCTTCTTGGAGCTGCAGCAGCATCTGTTGCGCTCACTGCAGCAGCCGCTGCTGCAGAACGTGGCGGCGCTTCTTCCTGTGGAGGCTGCAGCGCCCGCTTGCTGCCCGTAGGAAGCCCCTTCAGGCAGGCGGTGATCTTCCCTCCCGGCTGCACTGTTGCTGCTGCAGTCGCGCTGCTGCTTCGGCTGCTCCTGCTGCTGCGGCTGCTCCTGCTGCTGCGGCGGCTCTTGCTGCTGCGGCTCTTGCTGCAGGGGGGGCAACAACTGCGCTGCACAGTTGGTGCCTCTCTTGCCCTTAATTGGGATGGTATACGATTCCAGCGAGTAGGTGCTGGATACGCCAAATCGCTTCTCATTGACGGCAAACATGTCTTCAGACGGCCATCCCCCTCCGTGATCCTCTCCAAAAGTGCAACGATTCTTCGTGTTGTAGCTCATGCGTCCTCGAACTCCCGCTGAAGCTGCCGAAGCCTCCTGATGGTGCTGATGATGATGCTGATGATGATGATGCACGCGCTGAGAAATCGCAGCGCTGCGCCCTCTTGGAGGCTCGGGATCATCCGAAGCAGCGAGGAAGGCAGCAGCTCTCGACGTTGCCGCACATCGCTTGCCAGGCGTCACACAGGGAGCAGCTCTGGCTGCTGCAACGGGCTGCACTCGCCGAATAATTTGGTAGGTGTCAAGGATGGTGCTGCTGCTGCTGATGCTGTTGCTGATGCTGCTGTTGATGTTGATGCTGCTGTTGATAATGCTGCTGCTGCTGTTGATAATGCTGCTGCTGTTGATAGTGCTGCTGCTGTTGATAGTGCTGCTGCTGTTGACAGTGCTGCTGCTGTTGCTGCACACGGAAGCAACGTGCGTGCTGCATTCAGGTTCGCTGCTAGCCGCCGCAGCAGCAGGTGCAGCAGGGCGTCTCGGAGAACCTCTTCCAACGTTCCCCTTATTGTATCTGTTACTTGGCCGCTCGCCTTCAGCTCCTGCTGCTGCGAAGGCAGCCATTGGGGTGTCTTCGACGTCTCCATCCACTCCCCCTCCCTCTCCATCGCTCGCAGCAGCAGCAGCAGCCGCCGCTTCATCTCCTTCGATGCATTGCAAGGCACTCAACGTCTCTGGATCTAAAGGAGGCACGGTGTAAGAACAGCCCGCGATGCTGCTGCTAATACTACTGCTGCTAATACTACTGCTGCTAATACTGCTGCCTCCTCCTCCGTCTGAAGACTGCGCTCCAATGACTCGCAACAAAGCCTCGGCTTGCTGCTTCCTTCTGGCCTTGCCAGCTACTCCCCCTCCCGCCGCACCGTCTTCCGCCACAGCAGCAGCAGCGCTTGCGGAGGGAGAAGTTGCAGCGGCAGAAGCCTTCAAGACATGAATCCACCGAAGGAGGTTGGGAATGAACTGCTGCACCTGATGAAACTTGTGCTGCTGCTGCTGCAACAGCTGCTGCCCAAGCGCGCCGCCGCCGCTGGCATCCGCATACCCCAAAATCTGCTCCAAAGCAAACCACTGAATTCTGCCGATCTCCTTCCGCTTTTGAGGGCGCAGCTTCACATCTTCTCGAACTCCAGGAATAATAAAAAGCTTCAAGATTTGCGGACCCACACGACCCCGAATAAACAGCTGCTTCTCGATGAGAGAGGAAACATCAAGACCTACCTCCTCGCGCACCTCACGGCTTGCGCAGGAAGCATCTGTCTCCCCTTCGTCCATCTTCCCCCGCGGAAATTGCCACCGATTTCCGCGCCAACCCTGCCCACGCACGCATCCGAAAGAGCAACAAACAGCCTACAAACCTCCCCATTCAAAAAAGCACACGCACGAATGCCAGACAGGCACCTCAAACAGTTACAGAGAGAGAGAGACAGAGACAGAGAGAGACAGACAGACTGACTGACTGAGCATAAATGGGCATGCGTACATATGGATATATATGTACGTAGATATATATATATATATATATTCATATATACACATACACATGTATATATATCTATACATACATCTACCTACATTCACATACACATATATATACATCGACCTACATACACACACACACATATATATACATACATACACCTACATACACACAGAGCATCGAAGAAACAGCAGCCAAACACACACGAGACGGCGGCCTTCCAGAGGGTATTCCAGAAAGAGGTCTTGAAGGAAAAGCGCCAAAAATTCAAACAGAAGCGAAGTATGTAGAAAGCCAACAAGGAAAGCGAGAGAGAACCGTCTCTAGGCAAGGCAAAGAGCCGGGCTAAAGCGCGAGCAAGTGGGCAGACTAAGGGGAGTGCAGATGCCACTCTGCTTCGAGTGCGAATATATATGAATATATATATATATATGAATATATATATATGAATATAGATATGTAAAAATATACATAAATTGCAAAAAGATACTGGATGCACGAAAGCCTTGGAACATACACGCAAACCGCATCGTCATGGTTTGCCGTGGTGTCTAATGAAAGGGAGGAGACATATATATACATATATATATATACCCAGCGCAGAGAAAGGAAAAGGCTCCCCAAGAATGAGACAGCTGAATGCAATTTTTGCCTACCGTAATGAGCAGGCATTTCGTGAGGTCCTGATTCAGAATGATCGCTCCTCTTAGAGGGATCTGCCGGCAGTACACCTGCCACTCGTTGAGGCACCTGTCGTGACGCTCCAGAGGGAAGAAGAGTTGCAGGAGGGGGCAGTCTGCGAAGAGCAGCAGGCCGAAGTCTCTCAAGGAGAGGCGGAGGAGACGTTCCTTGTAGCGTTCCACCCATATGTCTATATACCACCACCATGCCTCTTGCACTTGGAAATACAGATGCACCGAATCGAGCAGCAGCGACTCTGGCAGCAACGCAAAAAATCTGCCATAACAGTCGAGCAGAGCCTCATCAAGCAAAGCCTGGTCTGGAGATCCCCGCTTCAACGCCAACGCCTCCTCCTGAAAGACTGTTCTTATGCTTGTGGCAGTGCTGCTGCTGCTGCTGCTGCTGCTGCTGCTGCCCTTGGTGCTGCTGGCGTTGTTGCGGCTGTTGCCGTCTACCGGCAGTGCACTTCGCGCGCTGCCAGTGCTGCTATTAGGAGAACAGGGAAGTCTGTCTCCTTCGTCCGCGAGTGCTCCTCCACTGCACTGCCCCTTTTCTGCAGCAGCAGCAGCAGCGACAGAAGCAGCAGCGACAGAAGCAGCAGCAGCAGAAGCAGCAGCTAGAGCAGCCAGAGGCGTCGAAAACGGCAGCGGTGGCCTGTGGAGACTGTGCATGCAGCTGCTGCTGCTGCTGCTGCTGCTACTGCTGCTGCTACTGCTGCTGCTGCTGCTGCTACTGCTGCTGCTGCTGCTGGCACCTAGCAAAGAGGCCTCCACTGGCTTATCATAAGGCAGCCTTGCAGGCAGAGGAGGATGAGCAGCAGCAGCAGGATGAGGAGGAGAACGTTGCGCAGGAGCTGCAGCTGCTTCTCGAGGAAGCGCGCAGGGTGAAGACGACGCTGCTGCTTCTGAAACGTCTTGCTGCCTGCCGCAGGGGGAACTACCCCGTCTAGGGGGGGAGTGTAGTTCTCCATGCCAGCAGCTAGCGCCTCGGGAGGCTACTGCCGGAGCAGCTCGCGATACACGCGGAGGTGCTGACAAGCCTTGAGCGCCTTTCTTTCCCCATGACGTGGGAGCAGTCCTCGCTGAGAGAGATGCTGCTGCACAAGCCTCATCTCTGTCTGGATGCGCATCGTTCTGCCCCGGAAGGGCGTGGACGCGTCTGCAGAAAAAGCTGCTGCTGCTGCTCCTGCTCCTACTACTGCCGGCTCCGTTGCATCTGGCTGTATTACTTCCTGGAAGAAACGCAGCACTTCTTGGAGGCTGCTCGGCCGAAAGGCAATCCGAAGGCACAGCCTCCTGGGGAGCAGCTTGCGGTGAGCGGCTGTACGGGGGGGGGGGGCCATGCAGTTGTGACGCTGCTTCTGCTGCTGCAGTTGCTGCTGCTTGTTCGGCGAGAGGAATCGACCTTTGCAAACAGGTGCCTCCGTTCCAGAGCTTCAAGCACTACCGTGCTGGTGTAGGAAAGTCTCTGGACGGCCTTCTCTGAGTGGGGCATCTTGTTGCGACGACGGCTGCAGTTGCTGCAGGCTGACACGGGAGAGCGGCTCCAGGATGCCTCCTGCGTGAGTGGTGAAAGTGTGCTGCTGCTGGAGAGTCGTCCCTCGCCTCCCCCTCCCCCCCCCTCGGCGTGCCCTCCCCAAACCGGAGACACCTCCGCGTGGATTACGGCAGGCTGGCTAGCGCGGTGCTGCACTTCTCGCGGCGGCAGGCTCCGGTTTGCAGCGGGCAAAAACAAGTACAGAGAAGGAAGGGTGGGAGGGGGAGAGAGGGCGGCTGCGTCGGGGGTACCCGTAGCGTCTAAGAGCGAAAGCACAGAGAGGTGTCTGTGGGCTGAATGCACCACTCTGCCTGCTGAGAGGGCTTCAACGCGAGGAGGGAGGCGGAGGGCGGACTGGCAAGCGCAGGCCTATTCCGGCAGAGTGAGCGCCACGCAGACGAATCGTGGCTCTGGTTGCCTGCCCCCCTAACGCAGACGCGTGTGCTGTGGAGCAAGTAGAAGGTAGACAGGGGTCAATGGGGTTTCCAAAGATCCCACGGTTGCGCGCGGTGGCATGCAAAGACTGCAGTGATGCGCAGTCGGTTCCGCATACCCGCATGAAGAAGTCCACCGGCGGTCGGGGCCTGGGAAACAGCGACCGACCTCCGGAAGAACGGAATACGGCGGAAAAGGGAAATTTCTCTGATCTAAAAGCAATAAAATGGCTGCTTTCCATCCGAAATGAGAGCCAAATTTACCAGAAAGGGCGGCTGCGGCCACCCGCGCCGTTGTTGCTCATGCCGCCGCAGCAGAGGAGGCCCTCCCTCACTGGCATTAGAGGCCCCATATTTGGCGGTGGCAAGGGGACAAAATCCGTGGCGCTTTCCCTTTTAAAATACAAATGGCAGTGCGGGAAGGAATACGAGTCTTTGAGACTTTGTAACGCTGACTTGGTCAGCACTTGCACTCGCCGGCCGGTGCTTTGAAAAAAACCTGAATGCTGTACTCTCTATAGGCTGCTGCGCTGTCGCTGATGCCGTTTCTGCGGCCGCAGCTGCCGCGCCCCTTCCTGATGCTGCGGATCCGAATTCATGAGCTGATTCAATGTGATCACCACGAAAAACCAAGTCCAAGCGCACACTACGCCTTTTGGGGCAAAAGCCATCGGGAGAGAGGCGCTGCCACCCCAGCGGAAGGAGGCTATACGCACAGGGCCGTGTTGGATTGGCAGACCTAAAGAGGCGACCGCTCGGCGCGGCTAGGACCTATACTTCGAGTTGAACTTTGGGATGAAATTTACGGTGTACATTGAACTCTGCTTTATTCTGCACTTGCCTGTTGCTCTCTCCCCGTCATTGGTGATGTTTTTCTGTCGCATTCCTCGGGCGAAGCGCGACTTCGGCGACGCCGTTGGGCAGCATTCGCATCTGCCGAGACCCTCTTTCAGGGATCCTCTTCGCCGCGAGGGCCATTGGCACTTCCACAATTACACTGCTGCGCTTTTACATCGGCTGGACCTCCTTCAAGGGGCGAAACAGTCATTTTCATGATTCGCCGGCCACGCTGTCTCGCAACTAGGGCAGGTTCGCCCTGAGACTTGCTCGAGCATCTTCACACGGGCACGGAAAGGTTCTCACTAGAGATCTCCCTCCCAAATTGCACTGAAGGCCCTTCGCACGGCTGTTTCATGGAGTGGCTGCTCAACGTGCTCATTGAACAACTGACGAACGAACACAGCACGGATCGTTAGGCCTACCTTCGAAACGACTGTTGTACGCCTCCGTGCAATCCAACTGGTGTTCTACCCCACTGGCGTCAATAGCACATTTCGAATTTTATACTATCGGCTTCGCACACGATGAATGCAGGATCATACGACACCCCTCGGTACCTGAGTGAAATTGCCCAGAATCTAGTACTGTGTTCGGCTGGTGCCGGCCATGCACTCCCACCCCCTGCCACCTGCTTGGAAACACAGAGCTCTACCCTTCCCGTTCCGCACAATCCCGTATGTATTAGGCATCCGAACACGATAAACCCCAGGGGCTGTAGGACAGGCTCCGCCCCAGGCAACTCAGAGAGCAGACTAGCCTGGGCAAGACACCATCGTTACAGCTCTGCATCTAAGGTGGTCTTCGTACGCAGACATCCAGTTCTAGACTCAACACAAACTTAGCAGAGAACCAGTTAATGCCTTTAAATGCGCTCTTGCCTCTTGCTGCCGCGCGCGGGGCAGCTTGGCTGCGCACCGCTGCACCCTCCATGCATTCGGAGGACTCACAGCTGCTTCTGCATGGGATCTAGCGCACACGCCCACAACACTGCCTCTTTGTGTATCGAGCTAAAAGTACTCAGCAAAAGTAATATACGAAAGGACAACAACCACAACAGTCAATTCTTTACTGATTCTTATGTAAACAGAACTGGTGTGCAGAGATTGCCTAAGTGTGGCTTAGCACGCTACCCTAAACCTTTCTAGAAATACAGGGCTATTAGCAGCTCAAAGCTCTAGGAAGCACAAATTCAGGATCCTCTCTTGCAACAGATCCCGAAGCAAAAAATGTCTGGAAGGGTCAGCAAGCTAAATAACGGAAACGCAGAAACGGTGTTGAAGTTTAGACCCTACCCCTAGAGCCAGCCGAACCTTTTCTGGCTGTATGCCATCCCTTTCCTCATGGAGAGATGTGCCTTGCTGGAGCAAAGCACTGGATGTCTCCGGAGCAAGCATGGCATTCCTTCTGTTTCTTCGGCTGTCTGTAGCAAGCTACAGCTACTACACTAGTTGTATTTGATTTCAAGGCAGAAAATTAAGTGACTAGCATGTTTGGTCGTATATTTTCAAGCTGCAGAGCACTGCTAGCTCAATGCAAGAAGGTGCACTGCATTGTGCGGAGGTGACCCCAGATGCTACGTGGGAGTGGCTGTGAATGCTCTGAGGCTGAAGGGTGCAGCGATGTGCATTTCAAGTGTGCTTCTCCCTTCAAGCCGAAACGATGAGAGGCGCGAGCTGCGGAGGGCAGGAAGGCACTTGAAACGCATTCACGCACTTCCTCGAAGTTTGCCTTGAGTGTAGAGTGGAGTGGTTTTCTAAAGACAAGACCGTAAATGGGGTGTTACAGTGCCGCTCTGCGCAGTTAGTTCGTTGGCTGCATCCTGGGAAACGATGGAAGGGAGGCGCTCTGAGTCAGGCGATACAATGGAAGAAGCAGGCGCTTGCAAAATATAGTGGGCTTTCTACAATGCGACAAGAAAAACACACGCATCTTCGTACTGTGGCGCTGCCTAGCAGCATGCTTAGTGATGCAAGGCTTTGCCCTTGATCCACAACATGTCCTTTTAGCCATCCCCCTTCGGATGATACTTCGGTTCCTCGGGAACTCACTAGTAGCCGTGTAACTTTGCATAATGACTGTAGCATATGAAGCACACCGCCCTGGCACACACCCTAGATCTACACTATTGAGACACACGCGAACGAATGAGCTTGCCTTCTTGTGCATGCGGTATGCGTCCTCTCCATTGCTCGCTGCTAATTCGTTGCCCACGAAACGGGTGTCATGCAAGCACACATGTCGCTTCCTGTCCCTTGAAGAAGCTGTACAGACGACGAGGACAGAGCACGGGCAAACGCCGTCAGGTAAGCGCCTCTGCGGAATCCGTTTTATGCGGCGCCTTATTCAATCACAATTGGGCAAGTAGCGAATACTCATGGAATTCGGGCTGCGGCGTCTGGAGTCTACGCCCTTTACGGCGTCTAGTTGTTCTGCAATCCCAGCAGCAGCTCTCAGGTCGTGCGGGGGTCCAGCCCGAACGAAATGTCACGCACTGTACAGACGGTATATGCAAAGAGAGTGGGTGGACTGGAAGGCCCTCTTGGGGCATTTAGGGGAAGACTTCTCGCAAGGGCCTAGCCACAGGCTGCGCAGCAAAGCAGCTACCACCCCCCGTGTTTGGTGCGCACTTAACGCTTCTTCCCAGAGCGCCTAAACTGCCCTGCAGCAAAGGGCCCCTCCATGGCCAGCCATACAACTTAGGCTGCTGAAACAACGCGTAAGCTTGCAGTCGTGGTTCCTTTCACTCGGCGGTGCTGCTTCATGAGGAATTCCCCGCTTTGCAGCACGCACTCCCCACGCTAGGCGGTGCTGCTTCATGAGGAATTCCCCGCTTTGCAGCACGCACTCCCCACGCTAGGCGGTGCCTCCTTGACTAGCCGCGAGGCCTCTCTTGAGCAAACGGGAAGTCAACGGCCGTGAAAGTCTGCCTCGTCAACCAGCATACGGATCTCTCATTCCCTAACTTTATTTGGGGGGCCTAGTGCCTCTGCTTCCTTCTATTCCTGTCCCTGCCACTTCGCTCCACTCCCCAGAGTACACACTGAAAATCCTGCCTTCCCTTATAGCTCGCTGCTCTCTCTATGCAACCAGGCGCAGCCGTCTACCCGTGTCTCTGCAAACCCCAGCCCTTTGGCTATGCCCCTCGTCTGACAGCCTTGAAAGCCGTCCGTCAACGCTATTGGTGCTGTGTCTTCTGCGAGCGAGGGGCTGATGTGCCCCTTACCCCAGCGGCTTTGCAGCAGCAGCTAAACAGACTGTGCTGCTGCACTTGCAACGGTCGCTTGCACCAGCAGCTAGTTCTGCAGAGGGTGCAACTAGAGCCTCGGGCAGCCTTCCGCCCCTCTGTGCGCTGAGCACTGGAGAGGCCTCCAGCTGTCGACAACATGCCACACAGAGAACCCAGGGGCCCCCTTGTTCTCACAGTCTCGCGCCTCGGAGTTTTCCCCTCCCACGGCTGCGGGATCCAGGTACCTGCAAGAACCATCCACAACGCAGCCAACGCGGCGGGAAGGTTTTACACTGCGAGCATCGACCGCCCCGCAATTCGTCCCGGGAGTACACTTCCTCGGCGCTGGAGAGAGACGCACCTGCACCACAAAATAGCGGCCACTTGGGAACCCAGATAGGGGGCGAAGGAAAAGAGAAGGAAGAAACTGAACCAGGAAGCAGCGCCACTCCACGCTGAGGGCCCCTCCGAGGCAGCCGCAGCAGGCGGATGCAGGAAGTTCGACTCGTCAACGCGAGAAAGCCAGGCAGCGGTATACGCAACCGCCGGGTTCAGCGCTGCTGGGGAGGGGGGGTGCAAGGCGGCAAACAGCAGCAGCAGCAAAAGCATTGCAGCGGATCGGTACAACAGCAAGGCGCTGCGGCTGCCTCGTGAAGCGTGTGCTGCTGCGGCGACCTCCGAGAAGCCCAACTCCACGTGTTCAGGTGCAAATGCTGCAGTCGAAGAAGACGTAGCCTGGAGGGGCAAGGCTTCTCTCGCGCTGGCGCTGTCGTAGTACAGCCACACCAGCAAGAAGCGCAGGTGGAAGTAGGCGAGGCACTGCAGAGAGGGGGAAACGCACAGAAGGAAAGAGAGGACTCATGGAAAACGCATTCGGGGAGGGGATTTGTGCCTTTTTAATCGAGAGACATGCATGCGCACATCGAAGGCTGCGGCTGGAAGATGCGCGCAGGAAGGCACTACAAGATGTGCAGAGTGCTCCTCACAACAGGCACACATACAAAAACAGAGAAAGCAAGGCTGGTAGGAGCATCATGCAGAGTAAGTGAGAGGCGACGAACGCGCAGAGAGGGAGGAGGAAAGCGAGCGCGTGCTCGTGGAGCGGGCCCCACACACCGCCGAGAAGGGACTGTGTGTGTCTCTACATATATAAACACACATGGGTAGATATGTGTTTGTGTTTGTGGAAGGAGGCTGGGCTGGCGCAGAGACAGGCGGTGATACAAACCCTCCGGGGGAGGTGTGTGGAGCGAGAGGGGTGGTACTGAGCCGCGTGTGCCTCATGCGGCGCGCGACGAAGAGCAGCAGAGGCATACTTTACGACCCGAAGCAAGCAGCAAGACTCAAAGCAGCGCTGCATACTGCACGTTTCGCGGCTTCCACAGCTCACCACCAGGCCGGCGAGAGTTGCCTCCGCTGCAGCCAGCTGCAGAAGAGACGCGTCTCTCGGAGAAGCGAAGGCGGCTGCGATGCGCCCAGAGGCTCCACAGAAACTCCATACGACTGCAGCTGCGACTGCTGCTGCGCTGTACTGCAATGCTAGGAGCAGATTCGTGAAGCCTAGCGAACGGCTGCCCGCAGACGCAAGCCAGCTCGCGTAGAGGAATGCTGGATTGAAATGCAGACCTGCAGCAAGGCAGAAAAGCGCCGCACGCGAAAAACGAAGTAACCCACTAATACACATGCACATGCACATGCATGCACATGCACATGTATGCATGCATGCACATGCATGCACACGGGAGGTGCAGAGCCTCTTGCGAATTTTGAGGGGGGGGGGGAGGCCTTGTTGCTAGAAATCGTGTTGCTCCTCGGTCTGCTCTGTTGTGCGTTTTCGTAGCAGCGCTTGTGCACACGCGCTGCCCCAGTAAAAAGGCGCTTCGACGGCAGCCTCTCCGCTCGCGCCTACCTGAGGCAGCAGCGCCTACGTAGAAGAGCAAGGGGAGTCTCCCCTTGAGCAGCAAGAGGTGCAGCAGGGGGGGAGGTCCCTTGCTGCCGAGCTCGGGGTCTGCGGAGAGAGCCGAAGCAAAGAGAGCAAGCGTCAAACAAAACGTGCCAGTTGCTTCCCAGCAGCACACCCAGCGGCGACTGCGCCGCCACTTGCCCTCCAAGCGGCTCCACAGGGGGGTTGGTGTTGCTGAGTTCGCGCCTCTTGCCGCTTCGCGCTCCCCTTCTCCGTGCAGGATAGCTGGCGAGGACGGGAGCGCCTCTGTGGCGCTGCCGTACAAGCTGCTGCGCACGCAGCCTTTGGAGCTGTTGCCGCTGTTGCAGAGGCGCCTGAGCACCTTCTCCTCCAGATCGACGGCAGCTTGTAGCAGCCACACGCCGAGCTGCAGTGCTCGCTTGACGCTTCGCCAGACTCGAAGGCGTCGTCCAGCGATTGTTTTTGCTGCTCTCCCCCCGACCGCCGCCGCTGCTGCTGCTTCTTCTTCCCCCCCGTGCTGCTGCTGCACCCCTCCCCCTCCCTGCTGAGGAGGCAGCTCGCGGGAGGCGGGGTGAAGCAGCTGCTGAGACGCCTCTCCTGAGGAGGGAGGGAGCCTTGAAAAAGCGCGGATCGGCAACGCCCCCAGCCGTTCGTACGACTGCTCCTGGCGCTTCGGAAGCGCTTCTCCCGCTGTACACCCCAAGGGGAAGCCGTTTCGACCTACCAACGAGTCTTCCCTTCCAGCGACGTCCACCAGTTCTTCGCCTTGCAGAGTGGCTGTGCATGCATCCCACGAAAGGTCTGCGGCGCGCTCAGCCGCAGAAGAGGCGGTGCAAGACACAACCTCAGACGGCGCGCGTCGAGAGGGGGAAAGAGAGCCGTGAGATTCACGGCGCCCAGGCAGAGCCTCCCTCGAGCAGCCGCTCGATTCGGGAGGCTGTGAGGCAGGAGGAGGCTCATGAACATCTGCGTCTAAATCCCACACTCCGGGGAACGCGAACAACTCCTCCCCCGCCTCGAGCCAAGCGGCGGCAGGGGGGGCTTTGTCGAGGTTAAGGCTGCTGCCAGAGAGAGCCTTGGCTCGTTCCCCTGCAGGAGAAGGAAGGCAGCCTGCAAGGCGCCTCGGCGACTCGTCTTCCTCTTCAGCAGCCGTTTCTGGGGGGGGGGTGAACAGAAAGTCGGCTTGCGAGGAAGACGTTGTGTTGCGAGGGGAGTCTTCCGTGCTGGCTGTGAGCTGCAGCGCCGCCTCCCTCTTGGGAGCGTGGCTTTCTGCCTCCCAGGGAGCGCAAAGATCGGCTGTTTCTAGCAGGTTCACTGCCCCTGCGAAGCCCTCTTCGCAGGGGGGAGGCGAGCACTGGGCAGAAGACGGGGAAGAGGCCCTTAGGTGGAGGGGGAGGCAGAAGGACGGCGTCTGCGGAGTCTTCAGGGGGTCTGAACATCCTGCAAGCGGCTCATAGAGGTAGTGGCTGGAGAGCAGAGGGCGAGGAGGGGCACGTCTCGCTTCCTCCGAAGCCCCCTGGCGACGGCTCAAGGTGTCGAAATTCATGAGAAAAGTAGGAAATTCGCAGCTGCAGGACGAGGGTAACCTTCTCGGGAAAGCAACAGAGGCGCTACAGCGCAGCACGCGAGGGGAAGCCGACAGACACAGCGGCAAGAGCTGGAAATCCAAGGGTCGTAGACGTGTGCAGCCGCCGTGTTCAGCACGCTGGCTAAGTATGCATGCGCCAGAAGCGGCCGGCCGGCGAGCGCTTCTCTCCAACAGCCAAAAGCCGCCCTCATGACCCACCCATACCACCCAGACCGCAGGAGGCGTGGGAGTGCGTGGTGGTGGGAGCGGGGGCTGTGCGACGGTGCTACGATCTGCACGCCATGCCCAGTTTTCCCTGGCTTTAGGCGCAAAAATATAAAGGCATTTGCCCTGAACGCGGTTGGCTCCTCCCGAGGCAGACGCCAGACGCCGTTAAGAAGACAGGCGCGTTTGCCCTCGCACATGCCATGTGGAAGAGCGCGGCATTCAACTTGGGGCTTTGAACGGCAGCCGAAGCGGGTGCACAGACACCGCAACCCTATGACCTCGAATCCTCCATTGTGAATGTTTTGTTCATTTTTTTCTCGTCAGAGTGCGTATGCGGAGGATCTGGACGGGGTGTCCGCTTTCTCCCACGCTGCCGACTCCCCCCGCGTGGCAGCCAGTTCTCCTTTTCTCTTTTCTTCAACCATTGAAAGGCATCCCAAAGAGCGCGCCAAGTAACTCGAAAACAACGCGGCGGCTCCAGTAACCCCTCTTCTACCACCCCCTCTGCGCTTCCAAGTGCTCAAGCACGAGCAGGTGTGACTTTCCGTTGCGCCGCTCTTCCTCTTTATTCTGGCGTCTGATCTCAAGACTGCAGAGACTGCAGATGGCAAGCGAAATAGATGTGTCGGAGGAGGCCCAAAAGCGGCTATGCCGGTTCAGCTACCTCTCGCACAGCATCGGCACCATGGAGGAGAGGCTCGCAGTGCTGAAGAAGAAGATCACGGCACTGAGCGACGCCAGCGAAGAAGTAGAAGTTTCCTTCACGGACGACGATCTCTGGATTAAAGTTGGTCAGTCAGTCAATCGTGGGGAAAGCTGCACAAAGGATCGTGTGGGTGAAAGCCGCACATGAGTGGTGCTGAACGCACTGGTTGTTCTGGAAAATGCACTCTATGGGGTGTCTCATGCTGTGCTTTTGCTTGTGTTCTCTCTCTCTCTGTGTATGTGTATGAGCATGTATGTATGTGTATGTGCATGAGTATGTATGCATGTATGTATGTGTATGTGTGGCTCCCTCAGGGGAGTGTTATGTTCAGCAGAGCGCAGACGGCGTCCAGGAGCATCTTTCTGCAGCTCAGGAGGAAACCCGTGCAGAATTGCGAAAGCTGGATAACACGCTTGCCGCCTACAGAAGCGAAATGCTCGAGCTGAAGGCGAAGCTTTACGCGGAGTTCGGGAACCGCGTCAATCTAGACAAATGAGGGCCGAGGCGCAGAAATAGCTACTACAAGGCACGACGAGAAAACTACTCACGAGCCGCGTCAAGCGATGCAGGCAAGCAAATGCCGCCAAACCAGGCGACCAGATTTTCATGGCGTGCATGCATGCATGCATGCCATGAAAAGGGTACGCATTCATCGTTTCCGATGAACGAACGCTTTCCATTCGAATATCGGGCACTTGTTTCGCCTCGTGTCATGCATACAGTTCAATCCAATATTGCCTACCCAATTACTTTCAAGAAGTAGCGGCATCCAGTGAAGACCACTGAATGCTTCGTTTTGCACACATGCATCAAGGGCGAGGGGGAGGGCGAGTGTGCGATCAATCATATGCATGCGTTAAAGAAACCAGTGGAAGATCTGCTTTTGAATGCATTTCCGATGGCGCCAAGCCGCTGGAATCACCCCATCTCGTCACACAGCCTTGTTGCGGATTGAGGCGTTGTGTTCGCATGAGTTGTTTTGCACCACATAGCACCAGCGAGATGATGAGGCAACAGCATTCACATTGCTGCATCGCGCAGCACATGAACGCGTGATACTGGAGCCGCCAAAGATATCGTGGGGGTGGGAATGCCGGTTGGTAGGCCAACTGTGAGGCTGCACCCCAGGAGCTCCTTAGATTGAGACACCACGCGATTCCCGAGTTACCCAACAATTAGAGAAAATGCATGATGTGAATGCCTTCCAAATGCCCTCCCTTCCCACGCCCCTCACAGTTTATCCATGAGAAGAGAGGACGGCCTGGCCGCGCGTTGCTGCACCCTCTACGCACTACTAGCACGCGCACAGCGACTTCCCTGTAGCATCTTATGAAGGGGTCCAAAAATCGTGTTCTTCGTGCTGGTCTAACGGGGGGCGCTGCTAGAAACAAGGTGAACGGTAGACACGTCAAGCAGTCGGTTCTCCGCCAATTCCTAATTACCTAGTCTTAGTGCATGGGAACGTGCGTGCAGCTTGGTGCGCTAGAATTGCCTTCTTCTGCTGTCATCCTATATAGCTCTATAAACAATGACGAAACGCGCTAAACTTATCCGGCCCATTGAGGCACGCCAGCCGCGAGGCGGGCAGATCCGTTTGCTTGGTGTGCTCTCTCGCTTTTGAGCAAAAATGCCATCAATCATCAACCAAACGGATTCCCGCGGAGTCCACACCACTGCAGACGAAACAGGGCCTCCCGCCGCTGAACTTAAAGTTCAGATGGGAATTTCCTCTACTGCAGGCTGCACGTGCGCGCAATTTGAGCGGCGTCAGACTGTGCGGAGCAGCACGTTTCCGCAGTGGGAATTGCTGAGAAACGTCCTTTCGTGGAATAATGCACAGTAGAAAGGGGAAATGCCGTACAGTGCCAGGTGTACAGGTCCCATTTGAATCATCGTTTCGATCTACGCCAGGACAGGGATACGCCTCCTTCAGCAAGCGAAGGGAAAGCGCCATCGGCACCAGCTCACAGTGCAGAAGCCCTTTTAATCATCATGGCAAGGGCAAAACGGAAAGCTCCTTTGAGGTGTATCATGCCATGGAGCGCGAGGGAGACAACTAAGTCGCTATGCCCTTCAGCCTCCCTGCCTTTTCCAAATAACCAGACAGTCCTCGATGTCGTTGAACGTAGTCTGGAGCCAAGCAGAGCATTTTTAAAGCTGCATGCGCGTGTACGCGTCAGTGTGGCGAGTGTACTATGGCGAAACGCCCTATCTGCTAGCGTGAAGGACGCCTGATGAGCAAGCGCCACCGTCCACACTTCTTCCGCCTTCTGCACGGCGACAAAGGCGCAAGGTGGCTGGAAAGTACGCGTTATGTTTGTGCCTTACACTTTAGACGCTGTTTAAATGCAAATAAGGAGCTTAGAAGGAGGAAGAGCCGGTGGATGGCTTGCCATGACCGCCCGGCGCTTCGCAGCAGCGGCCTTCGAGCAGTCTATCGGTGCCTCGACCTGCATGCACTGTGCGGGCGGCTGGTCCTATTGAATGCCATCTTTTTAGGGGGCAATTGTTGCTGTTTCCTCAATTATTTGTGTATAAGGAACGAGTGCGCAGCCGCTTGACTTCGTCAGCGCGGGAAATTAGCGCCTCTCGCCCCAGAGTCTTGACCCCACGAGGAAGCTGTATCGTGAATCGGCCTTCTTCCCCCCTCGCTCTCTGAAGGAGAAACATTCCAGATATCAGGACAGGAAGCTGGGCCTTGGGGCAGGAAGAAGGCAGACTTCGCCCTCAGGAGACAATGGGACGGGCTCAGCAGCGAAAGAAGAAGGGGAAGGAGAGGCTGGATCGGTACTATCACCTGGCTAAGGAGCAGGGGTTTAGAGCTAGGAGTGCCTTCAAGCTGATTCAGCTAGCTCAGAAGTATGACCTCTTCACGAACTGCAGGTAAAGTGTGCGCTGGGCAGGCGGGGGCGGTGCTGTAGGCAGGGCAGGTGCGTGCGAGGGAGTTTAGCGCCTATTCCCGGTGTAGGGCTAGGCGTAAGTCTGCAGCGAGACGCATCAATCTGCCGACCATGAGCACCATGATGAAGGCACTTGCTGGACTTACGAAGCACGAGGGGGGGTCACGGCTTGTGCCCTGTTGTTGTTTCGCTGTTGCGCCTTGTGGCGACAGAGTGCCGCGCTGTAATTCCTTCTGTGGTGCGTGCTCTGCGTCTGTTCATGTTCTCAGAGTTGCTGTAGATCTTTGCGCTGCTCCAGGGGGTTGGTTGCAGGTCTGCGCACGGCACATGCCGCTCTCGAGCCTAGTTGTTGGCGTCGACTTGGCCCCCATCCAACCCATCAAAGGTTGCACTACGTTCCAGTCCGATATCACGACGCAGGATTGTCGCAACAGGCTCAGGAAGCTTTTGCAGGTGCGGAGAAAAGAGCGTCTCTGGGACGTTTTGCGGATCAAAGGGAGGCGGAGGGGAAGCGTGTTTACAGTGCTGCTTGCGTTGCTGGCGTGTTTGCATTGTGTCACCGGGTGAGGAGGAATGGAGGGTTCTGCTTGAGCGGCTGTTGCTCGTGTGTCGCAGGGTCATGAGGCGGACTTGTTTCTTCACGATGGATCCCCGAACATGGGAATGGATTGGAGTATTGACGCCTTCAACCAGAATGTTTTGGTGTTGCATGCGGCACACTTGGCGTGCGACTTTCTGAGGCGAGGGGGCCTTTTCGTGTCGAAGGTTTTCCGCTCCTCGGATTACGCGTCTCTGCTGTATGTACTGCAGCAGCTCTTCACGAGAGTAGAAGCCACGAAGCCTCAGGCGTCCAGGAACGTGTCTGCAGAGATCTTCGTGGTGTGCAAAGGCTTCAAAAAGCCAGACGTGATCGACTCCAGACTCTTCGACCCCAAGTTCGCGTTTCTAGCAGTAGACGAAGAGCCGGAGGAAGGCGCTGCCTCGGGGCATGCAGACGCTTCTTCCCGAGGCGCAGAGGGCAAAGAGGCCTTCGAGGCAGGAGGGGCTGTTGTGCCAGCGAAGGCGAAAGTCAAGCTGTCAGAGGCTTTGAAAATCGCGCAAAAGAGGAACCGCGGGGGGTACTCCAAGGATGACGGAGGGTACAAGGTGCTGGCGGTTAGGGAGTTTCTCGAGACAAGTTCTCCTGTAGAGACTCTTCTTGGCGCCTCGGAGCTGAGGGCTGTTCTGCCCGGAGAGGCAAGGCTTTGCGATCTCACACAGCGCGTGCTGTCTCACCCGCTAACAACGCCTGAGGTGAAAGACTTGTGGGGAGACCTCAAGGTGCTAGGAAAGCGCGACATTTTGACGTTGCTGAAATGGCGCTTCAAAATCCGCAGAGACTTCGCCTTGCAGGAGAAACGCCAGCAGACAAAGGGTGGAGGGACTGCGGATGCACAAGCGCACGACGGGGCAGGCGAAGACGAAGATGTGGCACACGACCTCGATGAGGTGCGCATGCATGCTCTCAAAAGATCCATTGGGTGCAGGTGGCTGTACATCCTTCGGCCTAGAGGGATGCGGGCTAGTGCAGGTGGCTATGCAGTGCGGGGGGTTATCTAAAGAGAAGTTTGAGGCGCAATTAGCGGCGTCTGAGTGGCGTTAGTTGCGTTGGTAGAAGGGGCGGAGGAAGGCTGCTTCGATCATATGGGGTCTTGGCTGGCGCCGCTTTCCCTCCGCGATGTAATTACGTTTTTCTACACTTCCGCTCTATTTGTCAAGCGTCCTTTATCGCCGGCTTGCCTCCTGGCAGGCGTGCGCTCATGCAGCGCTTATTTGCGAAGCCCGATGCTGCGAATCGCTCATCTTGTGTGGCATGTATGCGGGATGCAGAAGCTCGCCACTCTGCATTCGGAGGCATCTCGTCTTGCGCAGAGGCAGCAGCGGAAGGCTGCGAAGCGCCAGCGCTTATTGCAGACGAAGCAGCAGTTCTCTCGCAATGCGTTTGCGGCATCTGAGAGAGATCCTGATCTCTTTAGGATGGACAAACAGACAGTGGATGCTTTGGCTAAGGAACCAGCATACGTGGACGCTCAGCTGCTGCTGACAGGCGACGCGACTGGGGAGGGTACCCTTCCCTTTGTGGAAAGCCTTGGCGTCCGCAAAGGGGGCGGAAAAGAACTGTCAGACGCGCTTGCAGATGCCACAGACAGCGATTCAGATTTAGACGCTCTTGACAGGTAGGCATCTTACAGGCCGCAGCCAAAGAAGAAGGGGGGCTGCAGAAAGTGCAGACTTTTTGCAGGTGCTCATTTTGCCAAGCAGCAGGGAGGCTTGGTAAAGGCACATACTGTTTGTGGGTGACTGCTGCGGCTGCTGTTGCCGTGGTGGCTCCCATAGTCATGGAGATGCTCTTGCAGCGCTCCGACACACTTGCACATACACACGTGCACATACACACTTGCACATACACATTTGCACATACACACCCTTGCACATACACACCCTTGCACATACACACCCTTGCACATACATACCCTTGCACATACACACCCTTGCACGTACACACCCTTGCACATACACACCCTTGCACATACACACACATACGCAGACACACTTAAACCCATTTACACACTTATACATATACACACAGACACACAGTTACACACGTACACATGGAAAAATCGGGTGGCTGTGGTTGCTGCTGGTGGTGCATTGTTTTCGACAGAATGGAAGTTGACTTGGAGGTTGGTATGCGGCTCCGTGCGCTGGCAGCCGCTGAGAAGGGCGGGGGGAAGGCTGCGAAGAAAGAGACGCGAAGGGCACGCGTGCTCGCGGAGAAGGCCGAGGAAATGCGAGCCGCTGTTGCAGATCTGCAGAGCAGATCTCTGGAGCATTTGGCTAGAGAAAGACAAGCAGACGAAATGTCTGACACAGATGAAGAGGAGGAAGATAGAAAAGCAGCGAGCCACGGCGGGGGGTCCGCTGAGAAGGGGACTCAACAGGAAGAATTGCACGAATACATTGGTGAGCTGGCTTTTTGCAACGCAACTGCATGCCCTACCCCAGAACCTTGGAAAGCTTCCGTGTGCCTTTATTTTCCTACGCTACATACGTCCTGTAGAGGAATGGAATGCAGATCTGGAGTGGTGAGGGTGTATAGGGGAAAGAGACTGGGCTACGTAACTGCAGCTGCGGCTACCCAGTCACTCTTTGGCGCCACGTTTGAGACCCCTGCTTCGCGAATTGCGCACTGCAGACGAGGAGCTACCCGTCGCTGTTGTTGGCGCCAAAGCGGCAGGTTCGAAGCCAAGCAGCAGCGGCCGTTTACCGTTAGCAGCAGCAGCTAAGCAGGGTGCAGCGGCGGGTAGGGAGGAAAAGGCCGCCGAGCGATGGTTTAGCCAGTCTCTCTTCTCGGTTGCAACTGCGAACGAGCTCGCGGATAGCCTTTTGACTGAGGAGTTCGATCCTGTAGTGCCGCAGCCGCGACACCAGGAAGGGAAACAGCAGCAGGATGAAGAGCGCGACGTCGAGATCAAAGAGCTTAGCGAAGCAGACATTCCCCAGATACCCCTTTCCGACAAGCAAAAGCGGCAGCAGCAAAGGCGCAAGGAGGAGGAGAAGAAAGCAGCACGGGCGGCAAAAGCGGCAGCGAACGGAGTGGTCGATGACGTAGTAGGCGCAGATGATGGCCAGCAGAAGTGAGCGGGTGTAATGACGGTTTGCCTCTTGCCTGTTTCTCCTCCGCAGGCTGATTCTTGGGGGTCTGAGTCTGGCGCCTTTAACTAAAGGCACTTTCGCTCTTACTTCTCAGTGGCACACGGCGCGTCTTGCAGACTTTCCTTCAAGCAGAGTGGTCCTTTTGGGGGCTTGCAGCGGACGAATGGCCTTTAGGGGGCGTTTTCTTTGCATGGCCAGAGAGCCCTTATTCCTTGCAGCGATAGCACCCTTGTACGGCGCATCTCTGTTGAGCCTGTCTGCTCTCTGGATCGTCGGCAGGGTGCCTCAGCCTTGCGTGACGCGCCGCAGCCGTGCGTTGCGTTCAGTACGTGTTTTGACTCCACGCCTTCGGAGTGTCTTGCGCTGAGTGTCTCCAGAATAGAAGAGGTTCCAGCTGCGACGTTTGAGCCTCCTCGAGGCGCAGAGGAGGCTGCAGAGTTTGAGGCCATGGGAGCCATGTTGATTCGCCGCTCGTCTCGCATGGACCTTATTGATGGCGCATACAACAGATATGCGTTCAATGATGATGAGCTCCCGGACTGGTGTGTCTGAGAAGATGCGTAGCGAACTCGCCTGTCCTCATGAATTGTCTGGCAGAGAGGCGCCTAGGTGTTCTCCGCCGTGTATAGCGCAGTTTTGTAGGCGAGCGCTGGCTTTGATGAAGGGGAGGACCTTGCCTTCTTGCGAGGAAGGACGAACTGCATGCAGCCGTTTTCCCTGCTCCAGAACGGTAACAGAAGAAACCAGCACCGAGCTGCAGAGGGGGCTACGCGGCAGCGGTGCGTTGGCTGCTCTGCTGGCATTTATGCGCAGGTTTGTGCTGGACGAAGAGAAACACAACAAGCCCGAGTTGCCAGTTACCAAGGAACTGATGCAGGAATACAAACAAAAAATAAAGGAAATTAACGCACGGCCCATCCGAAAGGTTCGCTGAAGCAGCACGCGCAGTTTAGCATCGCATGCAGCGCGACACGCCTATTCGGCCTGTGTGCTGCTGGCTACTGCGTCCGTAATGCGCATGCATCTTGATGGCCTTGCTTCCTGCTACCTACCCAGTGACTCGTGTCTGCTCGCCGCGCCTCGTATTGGCGGCTCTTTTCACATTGCGACGCGCGCACTTCTCGGATTGCTAACGCGCTCCGTGTGCTGCAGCCGTGTAGGCATGCAAATGGACTCCCGGGTGCATATCTTTGAAGTGCTGTCTATTTCTCAGTTTGCTCCTTGTGTCGGTGTGTGCTCAGGTGCGAGAAGCGGCGGCGCGAAAGAAGAAGAGGGCGCAACGTATCTTGGAAAAAATGAAGCGCCAGGCTCAGGGCATTGCTAATAGTGCAGAACTTTCCGAGGCAGGCAAGGCGAAAGCAATAGCGCGCCTATCGAAGAAGGCCAGGCAAGGTACGCAGCTTGCAACTCTTAAATTCGGGATAGATCCACAGGGAAGTAAGCCCTTAATGTGCTTACTGCTTGCCCTGCCTCCGCAGTGCGTGTTCATTTCAAGGGTGTTGGTTGTCTGTTCGCTAGTGGGGAATTCAAGCGGCATTTTACAACCTAGCAGAGGTCGCTCTGAGAGGCAGTATCTAGGCTGTATGTAGGAGTTCTCCTGAAGGCTTAAAGGGTCGTCAGTACTCTAGTAGAGAGGCTTTTCGCAAGGGGCTGGGAGGTGCCTTTCTACTATTCGGACAGCGCGACAAGAGCGCTCCGACTGTATCCCCTCCCTCTCAACGGAGATGAGTCTCTCTTTCTCTCTTTGAAAAGGACAACATGTCTGGGGTAATAGAGCGCCTCATGCCATCGTGAACAACTTTGCGCCTTGGCGCGGTGCTGTGTGCGTCCTTGTGCTTGTCGGGCATTGCCTGCGCCGCGCTGTTTGTTGGCTGCCGCTGCCTCTCCGCTTGTACATCGAAGGGGGTGTTTTTTCTGTCTGGTGTTGTCTGCTCTTTCTGTGCGAGCAGCGACGGCGCGGAAGGAGAAGGCGCTTGTGGTGTCGAGACGGGTAGGAGGGGGGAAAGCCACCCAGAAGGCGCAGGGAGGCAAGGGGGGCGCGCGTGCCGTAAAACTGGTAGACCGACGTCTCAAGAAGGACAAGAGAGCTATGCTGAAGGCTCAGGCAAAGGGCAAGGGCAAATTTGCAAATAAGGGTGGAAAAAGAGGCCAACAAAAGAGGAAAGGGAAGAAGCGGTTTTGAGGGAGACGCGCACATTCAGCGGAGGCGGACACGCTGAGAGGAAAGCCTCGTGTTACGTTACGGGCTTTTTCTCGCTCGTCTTGCTTCCCTTTCTCCCTTTTATTGCTGGTGTAGCAGCGCCTGTCTGCAGACTTGAGCTGCCTCACGACTTTTCATTGGCAACTGCGTAGTGTATGCATGCAGTACGGTGGTGAGTCGACTTACATATTGAAACACCCCACGGGGCGTTTTAATATGAGGGCTATTGTAGGGGGTGTCCTGTGCTGTAGCTAGAGGGCCAGCGTCTATCTCGTGCTCAAGGCACGGGGTTCTGTGTCGACTGGAAGCCACTATCGATCTCCCGTTTTCTTTTAGCGTTCTGCATGCTCGAGATGTGAACATCGAGAGAGACACTACCCAACCTTGAGGGCTTTCCCCACGCGAGCCCCCCGTAGGGAGTCTTTGCGTTTTGTGCCAACTGCGTGGTAGAGGAGCCGCGACGCACCCCCCTCTCTTTTCTTGTGAGGTCGCGAGCACTGTAAATGCAATATGTATATCATGTATATACACATCTCCTGGGTGCTCCTCACGGCGGGAAAAGCTTCGGACACCTCAGTCCTTGCGGAGCAGAGAAGGCCTCTGCTCTGCAGACTTCGGAGGGAAGGGGCGCACTGTGTGCAGACGTTTGAGAGAGCCTTCCGCGGAAATAGTCTCGTGCCTTGCCGCAATAGGCGAGAGGAGGACAGGCGGCTCCTAACGCGTGGCTCTCGTGAGGGATAGGAGGCCAAGGGCCTCAAGAAAACGTCTTTAAGACGCACGAACTTCACGTAAAGACACCCCTAGATTCCAAAATGTGTCGTGTAGAGGGAGTGGCGGGAGCCGATGGGGGCTACCCGGGTGACCTCTCAGGGAAATGCGTTCGGAGAGTGGAATAGAGGTCCGAGCTCTACAAAGAAAGCCGGCTGGAGGGGACACGATGTGTCTCCGATAGTTTTATTTTGCGGAGTGCGAACAGCACAAAAACAGTGGAGTTGTTGTACAACCCTTCAACTCTGATGCGCCTTCCTCCCCCCGGAAACGCCCCCCCTTCCCGCCGTCCATGCGCCTGGCCCCCAAAGTTGCCTGAGCCAGGCACAGCCGTCCTATCGATGGCTGCGTTTTGCGCTGTTTCTGCGAGGGTTCGACACCCTTTTTTGTGTGTATGCTGCATAGATTCGTTGCAAGTTGCGGAGATTCGTGCATTGTGGGATATTGGTGCTTTCTCGGATCGCGCGCGCACAGCAGCGGGAGGGTCATCTTAAGGGCAATCGTCAGCGCTTACTTCGCTTTCCCGGGGTAGCAGCCGCTGCCAACGAGCCGCAGGAGAGCTTTCGATCTCCCTGCACAGTATGGCGTATTTTGTTTATCACCTGCCGCGGGTAGATCCCTAAAGGCCCTTATGACGACAAGCGGCGCGCAGCATCCACACAGGGCACAACTGAAAAAGACAGCACCACAGCGGCTGCGGGTTCTCGAAGACAGCAAGCGAGTGGCATAGGGTCTTACTCGGCGAAGTGCTCCCCTTTTCTTTTCGCTTATCCGAAATTACCGAGAGAGGTGTACCCCAGGGAGCGTTTTGCTGCGGCCGATAGGCTGCCGCTCTCCGGATAGTACCATCGGCACGACGAGGCCTCTCCCCTCGACTGCCCTTTCGGAGCCTTTTTCTCCCCGCTTCCCCCCTTTCCCGCTTCCTTTTGCCTTTTGAAGAGTGCTCAGCGCTGGCTTTCCGACGGTGCAGAGGCTGCCGCGGCAAACTGGGGAAGGGTTGCTCTGCGAGGCGCTCCTCCCTAGAGACGCCTGAGCCTGAGCAGCCATCCGTCCTGGTCAGGGGTTGCCAAGAAGGGAAGCGAGGATTCTCGCTCTGCAGAGAGGCGCAATGCAGCTCGCACAACCTTCGCGCTCGAGGGAGGCTCCAACTCGACGCCCCCAGCAGCCTTTGCTCTCCCCCCTCGGCCCTCGCCACGATGTCGGATCGTTTGAAGTAGCAGCCCAATGTTTTGGGGGGAAGGCAAAAGTGGCGGGAAGAAGCGCATCCAGCAGCCTCTCTGTGGGGAGGAGCAGCGCCGCAAGGGAGCCCTCTGTGGGGGGGCAAGCGCTGCTTCTTTCGGTGTGCGTCGTTTTTCTGCTTTTTGCGGGAAGCGCTTCAAGCCAGACCGTCACGTTTCGAGACTTGGGAGTGCCTGCGTCGGAATCTCTGCGTCACGACCCCAACGCCTTTTTCATCTACGGCTCGAATGTGAAGTTCGTGTTTCCGAAGGAGGCTGTGGGGAAGCACAACGTCGTGCGCATCAAGAACCTGCGGCTCTCGCAGGCAAGCAGCGCGGAAATCGAGCAGATGCGCGCGCAAGACTTGCTGGCGAGACTGGCACCAAGCAGCAGCGCGCAGAAAGCCCTTCTGGACGTCTCCCCCGCTGGGATCGAAGTTGTTCTGATCAAGTACAGGCAGCTGAGACGGATGCTGACGGAGCCTGCGCCTTTCCCCTTCTGTTGCCACGGCATGCCCTTCAGTCCTGAGAAACCTTTCGTTCCGACGGCAGAGTGCCCCTATCCGAATGCTATGAGGCGCATTTTCTGGAGCAGAAGGCCGACTTACCAGCTCCAAGAGCCTCAGCAGACGCCGTCTCCGGAGCAGCACGACTCAATCCTGCAGTACGATGGCGAAGAAATCTATGTGCGTCCTGTCGCGCTGGCGGGGTCTGCCGATGCGGAGAAGGAGTTCACATTTGCTGTGCGAGACTCGGATATCTACTTCCTAGTCACTGCCAACTGCGGCCCTTTGAGTGATCTCACCTTCGAGGGAGAGATCTCCGTCTCGAACGCCTACGGCAAGCTCCCCGGATACGAGTACTCCGGCTTCCTGTGCGACTTGGCCTGTGTCGTCGCATACGCCGTCTTGTCGCTCGTCTGGGGAGTCTGCTTGCTCAGGCAAAAAAAGAACCTCATCCCCTTCCACTACTGCCTGGGGGGCGTTTGTCTTCTTGGCCTCCTGGAGAGTGCAGCAGAGCTCGCCAGCCTCTACATCTGGAATTTCTACGAGCCAAGCAGACCCCTCATTTGCCTCTCCATTGCGCTCTGCGTGCTCAAAAACATCTCCGCCTACGTATTAGTCCTCCTAGGCGCAATTGGATGGAGCATCACCAGACCGTCGCTCGACAGGCCCACTCGGTACAAGATACAGCTCATCGTGTTTACGTATATTCTGTTTGATTCGTTGAGGTAGGGAGCAGCAGCAAACTACTGCACGGATTTATCTTGTCAGGGGGGGAGGGGAGAACGGGGGGGGAGAAGGAAGGCAGGAAGTGCATGAATGCTCTTCGACGCCCACATCTTCCTCCCCATCAGTCGCTGCAGGATCTGCGCTTGCATCGCTGTAGGGGGGATTAGGGGGGGCGATTTGTTTCGCGCATGCATGGGATAATAGGAAGGTCAGAAGCGTGCAACACACGCACACAGGCGAGCTATGTGGCGGCCATACAAGACTGGGCAAAACAGGAGATCTCGTTTTTCGTAAATGTATGTTGTTGTTCTGTGCGCGCAGACAGCTCTCCAATGCATACGACAACAGCGGCACTTTTTCGTTGCTTCGGAGTCTCATTGTGCTGCTGCCCATCAGCGTGCTGAACGTGGTTGTCTTTTATTGGATTTTTTCGGCGTTGCATGACAACATTGAGGTCTGCTTACCTTAAGGTTGCTGTGTGGGCATATTTTTGAGCACTTTATTTAGCGCCTTCCGCTGTCTTGGGACGGTGGAAACAGACAGAGACTTCGCAACTCAAAGCACAGCCACTCGGCTGTGCTTTGAGTTGTCTCCAAAGTACAGGGCAGCGTGGAACCTGCGTTGAGCATCCTCCTGGATATACGTGCTGCTCAAGCTGCATCCATGCATGCATGCGCTCCTCACATAGCCATCCGCTGGATGCCTTGTGCTTCCGCCTTCTTCCCTCTTTTGATGATGCCTCTCTTGCGATATTGGCTTCGCGCTATCCCTGAGCGCGCTCGTGTCTGCTGCGACGGTGCTCTATGCAGCTGCTTACCCGAGAGAAACAGTACGAGAAGCTCCTCATCTACAGACGTCTCTTTTGTGTTTTGTTTGGTGGACTCTTTCTTGCCACGGGAATTTTGGTGCTCCAACTCTACGCTGCAGCTCTCGTGAGACGAAAGGCCCCTTTGGACGTAGCTGCACACTTACCGCGCGCAGGCTCTATCGAATAAGCAATCTCGCCGACCCTTATTTTACAGTGTATGTATCTGTAATACACAGAGTATATATATATATAAGTATCTCTAGTACTTGTACATGTGTTATATACATTTCCATATATGTATGTATGTATCCACAGTCAATGCATTTCTCCCACGCACGTTGTTTGAAAACTCACTCTGCGCTGTGCTGTGCTAGCGTCGAAAAATACCAATGTGTCCGTTTGCTGGTGTGCCTTTGGAAGCGGGGGGGCGAGCATTGGTCGGCATGCGTCGTGTGTATTTGACCCTTCGGTTCCTGAGCTGCCTTCCCATTTACGCGCGCGTCTGACGTATATGCTTTCTTGCGCGCTGTATTTTTTTTCTTAGGACCCCTCAGATAGGTGGCAGTATCAAGCGGTACTGGCTGATGGGCTTCCACGGGTGTTATTTTTGTTGTTGGTGCTGTCTTTGATGCTCATCTGGAGGCCACATGTGCACTCCAAGAGGCAAGATATAACTGCACGCATTTAGTGTACCAATTAGGCCTGCCCATGCGTTTGTGGGGAGAGGAGGGCAGGGAAGGAATTGAGGGGCTCTTGTGTTTGGAGGTTTCTCTTTCTCTCTGTCTCTCGCTTTCTCTTTCTCTCTGTTTCTCTTTCTCTCTGTCTCTCCCTCTCTGTCTTTCTCTCTCGCTCTCTCTGTCTCTCTCTCTGTCTCTCTTTCTCTCTGTCTCTCCCTCTCTCTGTCTGTCTCCCTCTCTCTGTCTCTCGCTCTCTCTGTCTTTCTCTCTCGCTCTCTCTGTCTTTCTCTCTCTGTCTTTCTCTCTCGCTCTCTTTCTCTCTGCAGCTGTCGTGGCTTTAGTCTCCTTGCTGGCTTGTCTTCTCCCCCTCGCATTGATGCCACCTCGCCGTCCTCCTTTTCTCCCTCCATATTATGCTTCCCGTCTTCCCGTGCGTTGCGCGAATTCTTTCAGGCTGGCGTACTTTACAGAAATTGGGGACTCTGAGGAAGTAGAGATGCCACGACAGCAGCAAAGGGCCAAACGAGGGGTATGCTTGCGCGCGGGGAGTGTTTTCTGTGCATTGCAGCCAGGCAGAGGTGCTGCCGTATGGAGGGGAGGAGGGGAGGCAGACGTAGAAAAGGCTACTTTCATGGGGTTTGTTAGACGCGGGAAATGCCTCTTTCGGCGCATGCGCATGGCCAAAAGGTCGTGCAGTAGAGGGGCACTTGCAAACGCGCGAATGGCTGTCTCTGTGCGGGTTCTATTTGCGACACAGGGAACAGGGGCGCAGGTGTGGGGAGACGAGTTGGACTTTCATGATCACGTAAGCGCGTGCAATTTGGCGGTGTGTTTTTGACGCTGAATTGTAGAGGAGGGTGGGGTTGCACAGGGAGCGCTGCTGCGTGGTGTGAGACGCTTGGATGAGCGGGGGGTGTCTGAAGGGAGCTGTGTTTCGAGGAGGACTGCGGGGGAAGCTGTTCTTCTCGAAGCTGTGGGCACGTTCTGCTTGACGGCTGAGCCTGCCTGCGCGTTCCTGCGTTCTGGGCGCTGTGTGGCAGTTTTCGGATGAAGACTTCGAAGAGGATGCAGGCAGCCGCTTGCGTCTGGAGAGCAACATTCCAACGTTTGCTTCCATCCAAGTGGGGGGTCCTGGAGGAGGTGTTGCTGGCGAAGGTGTGGGGCAGCAGAAGGGAGGAGATCGCAGTCTCGTTCCCGCGAACGGAGTCGGCGTGGCTTGCACGGCAGCGCAAGTGGCGTCCGCTGCATGCAGAGACCAGAGGGGGCAGGGAGACACCGCGATAGAACTGGGAACGAACCGCTTTGTAGTGGGGCTTCCCACACCTCAGGAGGCGATTTCCACGACAGAGGAGGGGCTTCAGGCGCAAGTAATCGGCAGACCGACGTTCGTACCGTCGTCAGAAGAGGGTGTCGAGGCAGGAGAGCTTCCTAGGACGGAGCCTCCTTTCGCCCCATCAAAAAGCGAGGCCTAGAAGAATGGGAAAAAGATTCCCTTTTTGCCGCTATCCCCCGCTTTTTCTCCCCTTCGCCCTCTTTTCTCTCCCTCTCTCCCCGCTTTCCTCCACTTTCTGTAGAGTGCTCCGCGTATTGCGAGGTCTTCTCCCCGTTGCCTCCCAGCGAGGCTGCTGCAAACCTTACTAGTGCCATCCACTCTTTGTACGACCCTGCTCGAGGCTGCTCCTTCTGGGGAAAAGCATCTCTGTGCAGGAGAGGCGGATGCCACCGTCGAGGCCCCTTTAAAGGGTTCACCACGACATCGTTGCGGACGCCAGTATCCCTCCGAGTCCAGTCTTGTTTGCTCTTTATTTAATACGAAGCACCCTATTTTCGCCGGAAATATCCGTTTTAACGAGGCCTCCTCGAGCATGCATACTCTTGAGGTTGCCCAGAGAGAGCCTCCCTCCTCTCCTGGCGGACGTTTCTTTCCCTCCGCCTACTACCTCCGTGTATCAATTATGTATGTATGCTTTCTCTCTCTGTCTCTCTCGCTGCCTGTGTGCCCCAGAGACTGCTACTCCCTGCCTCCATTTAGGCGTTCCCTTCTCCCCGTTGCTCTGAGTGTTTCGCTAGCTCGGAAGTTTACAGGCAGGCAAGGTAGGTAGTAGGTCTGCGCGCGTCCGTCGCTACCCAGCCTCCGTAGAGAAAGAGAGAGACCAGTAAGGAGTTCCTGCTAGGCAGCCAGCAGGCGCCTGCGCATGGACGTGTGTCACAAAGGCACCGTCACTTCTGTCTAGACAGGCGCCAGTCGCCACTAGAGGCCTCCCCCCCACCTACGGCCTGGGCAGGCCTACTCGCGTTTCTCACTGGCGAAAAGCGTGCTCCAAAAAAGCGCCTTGTTTCTCTCAGCGCTGCAGCTATGCTTCCCGCGTCGCCTCGTGGCTTAGCGGTAGGCAAAACTTGTTGCGGCGCTTTATTTGGTGAAATGCACGCCCGAGTTCATTGTCACAAATCGCCACAGCCTGCCGCCACCGCTTCCGGATAGCGGCCCCCTCAGAAGAGACCCCTTTCTCCCCCTGTCTCCCTGCTGCTGCTTACGACTACAAGACTCCCTCCCCGGCTGCATGAAACTAGTTCTGCCTAAAAGACGGTCGCGAGCCCGTCAGTCAACCTGAGCAAGAAAGCCGAAGTACGGGGGAGGCGGCAGGAACCCCTCCCCTGTTGCAGACTGCGCGCCGTCTGTCTCCTGGCATTCACAGGCTTCCCGTGACCAAGGGGGAAGGCTGCTGGCGGGGGAGTTCTTTTCGCAGATTTTTGGAGGGATGCGGCCGTAGTAGAGCTGCGGTTTATCCTCCCTTAGGGCACTCAGAGGCAGGCGGAAAGAGCTCTCTAGTTGCTCCCGCGGAGGAGAGGGGGAGGCAGCGTGCGACGCCACCACTAGGGCGTTCAGTGCCAGTTCGAGGTCGCCGACAATGGAGGCAGCAAACTGCTGAGTCTCCTTCGGAGTCAGAGACAGCGCGAGGCCCTTTGCAACAGCGCCCAAGGCTGCAGCTACTGCCGGTGCCCCCTTTTCTTTGCTCTCTGGCGAAAGGGACAAAGCAGAGTGTAGCGGGTGTCTAGCCATCATAAAGAGTGCCGCCACGCTGGGAGATAGCGAGAGGTTGCTGCTTTCGCGAGTGCCACGCAAGCGTGCCATGCAAGGCAGTGATGCCGCGGGTGCAGCCATGGGCGGAAGCCTTTGTAGCTGCGCCCCCCATCCCACAGACGTCACGTGTTTCCCACAAAGAAGCGAAGAAAAAGGAGAAGAAGAAGGCGGCTGTCGCTGCCGCGTCAGGAAGGCGGGAAGAGCAGGCCTGGGGACCCCTCTGCATACCGACTTGAGGCACAACTCCGTCCCCTGACTGCCAAACGAGCCTGTTCTGTCTCGCGTTTTCCGCTTCGAATAAAGGGTGAATGAGCCTGTCTCCCTGTGGCGTTCTGGAGTGCGCCACAGGGGGGGGGGCCCTGTTTTCGAGGCCCCCCGTCCAGTGTCTTTGCGGCTCCCCAAAACCCCCACCAGCGCCGCCCCACTATCCTGCAGCCGACGACGGAAGCAGTGCGTGAAGGAGCTACGCGTGGTAGTGATGCATGGGGGTGAAGGTTCCGTGAGTGGAGGAGTAGTAGCCGCTAGAGGCCCTAGGCACGACGACGCGCTGGGGAGGCGGTGCAGAAACCGTGGTGTAGGTGCTGCTGATGGGCATAGAAACAGTGGCAGGAGGAGGAGGAGCGGCAACGTAGTATGCAACCGGTTCAACTTCCACCGTCGAGCCTTCTTGGAAGCAGGTGTTAACAATAGCCTTCCGGGAAATATCAAAGAGAAGAACGAGTCCTTGGATGCCTGCGACGGCAACTGTGGCTGTCGCTCCAAGCAGCAATCCCAAGAGTTCTCCACAGGCGGCAGCCAACTTCGCTTCATTGGTGTTGTTGGGAAGAGAGCTCCCCGATGACGCCTGGGTTGGAGCGTTCACCGCTTCTTCTCCCGAGGCCTTGTCGCCAGTTTGACCATGCGCAGGAGCTGGAGAACTCATTCTCCCTTTCTGTGAGTCTTTTTTAGGATAGTCGACGAGCCACCGTCACAAAAAGGCGCAACAACAACGCGAAAAACGCCGCTAAGGGACCCTCCTCCGCGGCTTCAAGGTGCCTCAGGGACGCAAAGCAGGCAAACGCTCGGCACCGCTCTCACGCAAAGAAAGCGGCATCAGAGAGGCCGAAAGCGCCTCCTTAGAATCACCAAGATGTGGGGGAGCAGCGACCAGTGATGCGGATGAGGCCTCAGAGGCGCACGCACTGCGTAGGGATGCAACAGCAGAGAGTAAGCGCGAACGGGCGGGGCGGGGGGCCCTTGAGAGCAGTGAAGCAGCAGTCACTGCTGGATCAAGAAGGCGCCGAATCAAACAGCCAGACAGAACCTTTTAGGATGGACACAAATGGGATTTAAATGACAAGAATCGCGTAAGCATGGGGTAACAAGCTTCGTACAAGGGCAGTGATGCAACACCGGCTCGGCAGTGGCTACAGGACGAGATTCGCCACA